AAAAACCCCTTGAGCCCTATATCCTAGTATGCTGATGCATGCCTGTTACCCCAGCACCCAGGAGGCTGAGGCAGAATTGCTGAACTTGTGGCATTGAGAGCAAAATGCCATTGAGGGCTAAGACCTTGTTGTAAAATCAATCATTTGAATCCTACTTTATGGTATGTTGGGATGTCAGTGGCTCCAACAGCAGCTGTCCACAGGATCAAGAGCAAAGGATACAACCTTCTAATTTCTTGCCCAGGCTATTCTGTCTCCTGACTCCATGATCATGAAAACATAAATATGTGCCGGGTGGTTTAAGAGATGGAGAAACTAGGCAGGTTAGCTTTGTCTGCGGGCCTCACAACCCTGTGTGGACTGCCTCAGATTCTCCTTCATAAAGACCCGACTCCTAGGTCATGTGTGTTCCAGATGCTACCAGATTCAATAACTGTAACTCGCGCGGTCTCATCACCTCTTAACCTGGATGAGGACAGGGACTCAGACTGAGCAGGTCACCAGGATGAGGAAGGAGATGGTTAGTGGTCAGCTCAACAGCTCCAAAACCCTTACAAGTCTTATGAAAGAACACTTAGCCTTGTACCATCACTCACATGTCCCCAGAAAAGGGACATTTATCGGCTTATTTCATGAATGTATCACAAAGGCCTTCCTTTATATAACAGTTGTAACAGAACCAGGGTACACAGAAAATGTGCTTGGAACCCTCAGTGTAATATTGTGAACCTTTCAAGTTCAGGTAGAGAAATGGGCTGCCTTAGTACTTAGTACTAAGTACTTAGTACTTCCCTGGCCTTGTCCATGAGGTGACTGATTACATGACCAACCTCCTTAGTACTTGTGTGGCATCATGTCTTCAGCGTTCCAAGACACCATAGGATTCTTCCTGCAGAGGTCACCGCTAGAAAGCTGAGGTCCCACCACAAGCAATGCCAGGAGGAGGCTATACAGGCAATGGGTCCTTCAGTTCACCTCTGTGCTGCTCTCTTGACAAATGAAGAATGCACTGTTGCCCAGTTGTGAAGACCAGAAACCACACAGACAACACGCAGATAAGTCTAGGAGATCAATAGCAAGTGTACAAGAGAAACAGGATAATTTTATTATCAGGTTTTGCTTCAAATAAAGGTACAATAGAATCTCTACAGTTCAGCATGATTAGACATGGCAAATGACAACAGAAATGAACCAGCACAAACGACAAAACTACTAGAGGAAAGGGAAGCCATTTCTCTGATAAAATATATACTATAGCTAAACTTCCTTAGAAACTACCTTCTAACCACTAAGTGCCTTCACCAAGTCGTTAATCAAATGCTTCCTAGATTTAGAAAATGATGATCAAGTGGACTGAAACATGCAATTCTTAATCTTGTTTCTCCAGCTACAAAAGAACAGTATTTCAAGAAAATAAAATATTTTCTAAGCTGTTTTCTGAAAACTTCAATGACCTTTTCTGGCTCAGTACCTGCCTTGAAATGTTCAAATGTTTGTATTGCACACAAAAGAAACTTGAGCAGCATAGTATGCACAAGAGAAGCTGATGAGAAATAAGATTGGAAACCCCCTTAAATTGTGTCCCATTTACATGATTTAAATATATAGTTTTCTGTATCTTTAATTAGTATAAGTAAAAAGGTAAATTTCTGAACAGCACAGAAATACAAATGTATCCAGAGTTTTACAAAATATATCCAACCCCTTAGACATGCACAACCTCTTAATTTTGGAGTATTATACTACATAAGGGAGCCAGTTTTTTCATAATGTAGGTAGGAAGTCATTTTTATGAAGTTATTTTATATGAAAAAATAAAGATGCACTTTCCTTTTCTTTCTGAAAAAAAGTTTGTGGAATGTTGGGAATTATGAAAAAGCAATTCCAAAGCAACGAAGTCAGAAGACTTGGAATGGGAAAGTCCTAATGGCACAGTGTGTCGTGAGGAGTGATAGTTATCTTTGAGTGATTCCAGGAGTATTTCGTCATAGTTAAGGGTTACCAAGAGATGGCATGGAAATCCATGAATGCTGGGCATTTCTCATCAAAGAACCAGAGTGCACAAAAGTTGCCACTTCAGAGATCCCAAGCAATGCCCTAATACACTAACAGGTTGGTGCAGTTAGCACCATAGATCAGTCAGCAGCTTCTGCCCTAGCAGGATGACTTCTGTGGAGGCTGCAGCAGATATCTGCCTGTGGGTAGGATCAGGATGTTGGCCTGCAGGACTTCCAAACTTATCACCAAGGGAGGGAAAGGGGCCACTGGCTGCTAACTCCCACAACATTTTCTCCATAAAATATACAGCTACCAGGAAAAGAATGTTATAGCTTCATTTAGAAACATAAATAGCTGATTACAATTCTAACTCCTTTAACGAACTCATACCTGAAATAGGTTAAACACTGATGTCAAAATACTCTCATTCAGACTTGAAATGCCCTGCTCCCCAGCCATGCAACACCCCAATTTTGTTTTAATTTGCTTTCTCCTTGAGTTTGTAAGGGAAGCAACTCTAAAAAACAGTAAGTGCTTAGTCCAAAACCTGGAAAGCAACAGGGTAAAGGAAGTCTTCCCTGTGGTCAAGAAGCCCCTGCTGTTTCTTAATTCAGGCTTGGGAGCTAGTGAACCATGAATGGATTTAGGGATGGACAATTCATACTCTTTATGAATCAAATATACATATAAAATTGCTCTCCACCTCTGTTACCTGCAGCTTCAGAATTTCTACTCATCTAGTCCACAGATTCACAGCTTTAATTCTGTCCCTTATCGATGTCACTGCCATTATGCTAGGAATGTCATGGGCTTCCTCATAACCACCTGGACAACAGTGCAGCTACCACCAATGTCTGCATCCTATAAACCTGAAAATTGTTGACTTTCAGTTCCTTGGGTCTAGTTACAAACACTCAGTTCTTAGACAGAAAAGCATTGTTAATCACTGGAGAAAAGTGTGGGTTTCAACAGCCACAACTCTACTGGCAAGCGTCGGAAGGCCTGGTGAGGGTTCCAGGGCTATGGTGCCAGTATTTGGAGACCACTCTTCAGTCTCTTGCTGGTGCCTAAAACAGTGTGTGGGCTCCCTGGGCTAAGGCCGGGTTTCCTAGTCTCCACACTGGCTTCAGCAGTGCCCTGCCAACAACAAAATGGCCTATGGACCTTGAAAAGTCAATGTTCCCTAAACCTGAAGGAAGCAGGCATATGGTCTTTTGACCATTCTAAGATGTTTTCTATTCCAAGAGAAGTTATTATATCCTGAAAGCCAGTAAAGTGACCATCTTAAGAGTTAAGTTTTCACTTACATTAAGAGAAGATTGAATTAAAATACACACTTAAGCCTAGCAGAGTGGTAAACTCCTATAACCCCAGGTATTTTGGAGACAGAGGCAGGAGGATGGCAATTTAGTGACCTGTGTAGTCAGACTGTGAGATTCAATGCAGGGGGACCCATACACACACTCAAATGGGGAATGTGATACAAAAACAGAATTAAATTTCATTTAACTTTTTTCCTCAAGTATATTCCAAGGTGAGCATTGCATTGCTTTTTAAGTGACAGCAGGCATTTACCCAGTCACACAAACCTGGTGTGAACTAAAGAATGAGTCATCATCTTATTGGCTAGCAATGCCAGTCACCACAGATACATCGCCGTGCTCCAGCCACATGAATGATAGATAGCACAACCCTGATTGAAATGCCTTTCAGCTTTGTGTGTCTTCATTACTTCTCTTTCAGATATTCCCTGGCTGAAACAAATGAATGGTATTCTCCCATTAAACTATTTATCTTGCATTAGCCAATTTATTCTCACTGGATTCTCTCAAGGTATTATGCTCAATTGAAAGTAGCTTGTATTTTGTGGTTTTGTGTGTAAGTACAAATCGTGAAGTTTTAAAGATATTAGATTATGACTATGTTCTTTTCATAGTCTTTAGTGTATTATAAGGAATAAATGAAATCAGTGTCCTTAATCAGGCCCCTTATTTTCCCAATGCTTGTAAATAATATGTAGATGTAATGATTATTCTACATGTCTTCTGTTACTAAAAAGGCAGGCCGTTCCCCAAAAGTAGTCCCTGAGAACACCTATTAAGGATCCCCTGAAAAACAAATGAAAGTTATAGATGACAAACACATGAACTCCAGCTGTGTACAAATCTTGAGAGGTTGACCAATTCTTGCCTGTAGTAACATGACACTGGCTACACTTTACCAAACAAATGATTCATGACATGCGTTTGGACTCATTCTCTTGCTTCTTACATTTCTATCATTGAAGGTGTGTGTGTGTGTGTGTGTGTGTGTGTGTGTGTGTGTGTGTTTGTGTGCGCGTGCGTGTGAGAGAGAGAGAGAAGTATGTAAGCATGTACAGTGACACACCACCCACACAGAGGTCAGAGGACAATTTTCAAGAGCTGGTTCTTTCCTTACACCTTGTTTTGAGGCAGGGTCTCTCTTGTTTCTGCCAATTCACTGCACACTCCAGGCTAGCTGGCCTGTGAACTTCCAGAAGATTATCCTGACTCTGACTCCCATCTCACTATAGGAACACTGGGATTATAGTTGTGGCTTTTTTGTGGGTCCCAGGGATCTGAAATCAGGTTGTCACGTTTGTACATTAAGCACTTTTACTCACTAAATCATTCCCTTGGCCCACTTCTTAGTTTTCCAAATGTGAGCTAGGTTGGGGTTTATACTTAACCTTTATTGGTCACCCTGTTTTTCTTTTAAAGGTGGTAGATCTGACTAAAGGAGGATTTCCAGTCAGGGAAGTAGGAAGGCCAAGTACCTTTGAAAGGCTCAATGAGATCCAATGGGCAACCATTCACACAAAGAAACAAGGCACACATTTTAGATACCAAAGTGCTGATCAAGACTACAACATAACTGGAGCTGATCATGCCAGCATGCGGGTTATTAGAATACCGCCCTACTGACATGTATGTGCCAGCCCTTCAGTGCTGCTGAGCCACCGCTGCTCTTCCCCCGCATGGTCACGGCCAGCAGGAGGGAAGCACAGTGGCATCTCTGCTGCCTCACACCGACTTTGTCAGGAAGAAATTCATCTAAAATGGCAACTCATCTTCAGAGCTTTCCCTTCTTGACTTTCACAGCTCTGGGAAGAAATGAGCTGGCAAATGTGTTTGGGGGTAGAAGGTTCCCTCCATGCCCCACTCCCACAGCAGAGTTAATGTAGGCCGGAATGCATAGTCCCTGTACTTTACAGGTACACTTTAGGGCTAACTTCAGAGAAAGTATGATAGCAATATAACTTAATTTTAGTCAATATAAATTACAATGGTCATCTAAATATTTAACCAGCAAAATAGAACAAAATATACATATTAAAATTTCTACGTAAACAAATGTACAATTTCAGAACTTAAAATTCACTAGAAGGTTCAATTGTGTACATTAATTAGGCTCAGAATGAAGTAAAAGTAGTCAATTTAACCCCCAACCTGGAAATCTAGTCCTGCTATGGTTGTGATTCATGTGTTCAGCATCCTGCAACATTCATTTAGACAGAGTGCAACTGTCCATGTAAACACTTTGCTATCTTGGTCCATGGGTATGGACCCATAGATAGAGGAGACCCTGGGAGCAACAGATGGGGAGGGAACATTACACCTTAGAGAACAAAGCAACTTCTGCTGTTGGCCTCAGGGCTTCCCGTTGGGTGGCTCAGGAAGACTCTGAGGGGTAGATGTGGTGAAAGTAGATAGCCATGAAGACATAGCTGTCTTTGCACTGGAAAAAGCGCCTCCCACTGACTGGCCTGTGAGGAAAAACAAAAGGAAAACTATATGAACTTAATAAAAAGGTTTAATTTTTTACATGCTGGGAATGGAACTTAGGGAGTGCTTTAATATTGCACCACACCTCTGGCCTATACTTAATATTTGTTAAGACACAATGAAAACACAACAACCATGAATAAGGGTAAATCACTGAAACACAGTAAAATGAAACAGGTACTAAAATACCATTTAAATCTTCAGTTCAAAATAACTCTTTTAATGGAAATGTCTTAAAGACAACCAAGTAATTTGTAACCAAAGGAGGAACATTAGGTACTTTGTAGGGGTTAATAACAGTATTTTATAGACATAGCACTAGCAACTCTGTGAATCAGAATTATCTGAAGAGTTTGTTTAATAAGTCCAACATGGGGCTGCAGAAATGTCTTAGGAGTTAAGATCATTTACTGTTCTTCCAGAGGACCTAAGTTAGGCTCTTAGTACCCGTATCAGTTAACTCATAAACCACCTTTAATTCTAGCTCCTAGGGATCCAATGCTTCTAGCCTTCATGGTCTCACAAACACACACACCTGCACATATTCATACAGAACACACACACACACACACACACACACACACACACACACACACTCACACTCACACACATACAAAATCTATGTACCTTAAAAGCTGAGTAACCACTTTCTTATACTGGAAGAAAATCTAAAACTGGTATATTAAACCAAGAAACACAGAACCCTGCAGGCCTCAAGTCTTTGTTGTTTTAAAGAATATTCTCTTCAAAGCTGCTGTGAATGTGAAATTATTTGAGTTGCTGCTATTGCGACTTAATTAGCAGCAGCAGCAACACTGAAAACCAAATGCAAGTGTCCTCCCTATCTTGTGGCTTCAGTCCTGAATTTGAGTTCCCTGCCATCTAACTCTTCAGAATTAAAGTAGGTAAACATTCAATGGAATATTCTAGAAATAAATGACTTATACATTTCCAGGCTGTTCTAAGTGGTGATGGCCCATCACACTCCCATCCATCCCTGTTCCTGCTTATGTCCCCTTTTGTCTAATGTATACATGCTCATTCTCCTGTCTACCTGTCATGTGGTAGACACCTGGTTATCAGACCGACTCCCATGGCATGCTGCTTGCTTTTTTATCAACTAAACACAAACCTAGACATGTCTAGGAAGGAAATTTTTTTTTTCTTGGTTTTTTGAGACAGGGTTTCTCTGTGTAGCTCTAGGTGCCTTGGAATTAGTTCTGTAGACCAGGCTGGCCTCAAACTCACAGCAATCTACATGTCTTTGTCTCCTGAGTGCTGGGATTAAAGGTGTGTGCCACCACTGCCTGAAAGAGGGAATCTTAAATGACAAAACGTTCCTGACAGATTGGCCTGGAGGTCAAGCCAGATACTCAATCTGCACAGAGGTCCTAGCCTCACTGCTTAGCAGTTTTTTTGCTCATGCAGACAAAAAAGACTAGACATGCAGCAAAAGAGGTCCTGATGGAAAAATGTATAGACAGGATTCAATGTGTGTAGGCTTAAGAAAGAAAGTAAAGGTATGGACAGTCATAGAAGTAAATATTTTAAAAATAATTAAGTTTTTAAAGAGAGTAAATGTACTATAAAAGAAAAACGCCATGTAAGATGGGAAATACAAAGGGAGTCTGGATCCTATATAGTACTGGCTGATTTTAATTTTCTGTATGCTGACAAGCAAACAACAGTGGCTTAGGAGACATGGGATTGTGAACAGTACAGCTGCAGTCCACAATATCATACAGTGAGATTTCAACTGACAAATCTACCAGGCTAACCCATGAGAATTATCACCAGTGTGTTCCACTGGAGAGAAACCCCATTTACAAAGCCTTGGGGATACCTGTCTTTTCAACAGTCACAGTCATCCCGGTAAAGCCCTTGTGAAAGCATAGTGCTCCTCCTTTTTCATAGTCTCCCAGCAGTGTATTAATCAATTACTGGGCACTACTCCTTGTTGTTCTGTAAACTATGTAACTGTCTCCCACACTGTGGGGCCCTGGTGTGAAAGTGTTCACACAGTCAAGGAAACCTTTGTTCTCATAGTCACAGCCACTTAACTTAAAGGATAGCTCCTACAATTATCTCCTATGGCAGGGCACCTGACAAGGAGAGGAGCCTTGCAAATACCACATTCAGAGCTTCAATAGACAGGGACTGAGCAGGAGACAGGCATGTCTGCTCCCACTGACAAGCAGGACTGGACAGCACCGATTCCTCTAACAGCTAACTCTTGAGAGTGCAGCCTACTGGCCCCTGCTCTACCTTAACAAGCTATCAATATTTTGTACTCAATTCTACTGTTATAATACCTTAATTAATCTAGGAAACTGTTTGTGTCTTTACTCCTAAGATTCAGGTAAAAGCATCTGATTGCTTAGCCAGCTCCAGAGAAAGGAGTCCCTTCTCACCAGAGTGTCAGCGGTACCAATGCTCTGACAATCAGCCCACAGCGTGGCTGGAAGCTGCAGCTTCTGGCTCTCACATAGCCTCTCCCCTTGATCTAGTCCTGGGAGAATTCACTAGCATTTGGCAAAAATGCTAATACAGATCAAGGTCCATTTTCCTTCTACAGTTTATACGAGTCACCATGGCTACTCTTGATGCTGTTTCCAGCTACCGCGAAAGCGAAAGTGAGACCCAATACATAGTGATTCTTCCTTTTAAAAACATTAAAAAATTCTAATGTTCCTTCTTTTACATTTATCAGTTATAGATTTCCAGTGTAACTGACCACATAAATGTAGCTTCATGTACTAATATCACTTTCTCCCTTCTTAGTGATCCCATTTAACCCTTCATCCACCTCTTGAATTTTGCCTAGACACCGCACAAATCACATACCCACTGAGATGTGAGGTGCCTGCTTTTCTCAAGATTTTATCTGCCTTCCTGATTCTCAGAGATATGCATGCCTGGTATTTTTGCAATTGTCAGAGAATTGCTAATTGTACATGTAAGGGGTATATAAACGGGAAGCCTTATGGGATGTGGAACCCCCTGCACCCTTTGAAGAATAAAGAGCCATTCAAGGAATGTATGTGAGCCTGTTTGTTTCCCTTCACCTGCAGACCGTTTTAGCCAAGCCTTACCAGCTTGCTGTAAGCCCCTAGAGGTGGCTGTAAGCCCCTGAGAGGACACTGAGGCTGGAACTCGGAGGTCCTCATTACAGTACTGCAAAATTGAATCAACTAAGATACTTTAGGTCTACCTTGACTTGTAAAAAGAAAAAAAAAGTATTTGTCAAATGGAAATTAAAAAAAAAAAAAAGCTTTGGAGTTTTGTTCCCACTGGAGATGAAAGGTTGTGGATTCTTTCAGGAATAATATGGATCAGGTTTGATCAAGGAAGGCCTCCTAAATCTTGACGGGTGTTACTGCTGGCCTTTCCAGGACTTGGCCATTATCTCAAACTTTCTCAGGGACTCCTATAAGATGCCTTCACCCACAGACACCAGGAAGTAGTTTGGAGAAAACAATGCCCACATTCGCAAGAGTTGGGGGGTGTGGATGGTCTTTGGTTATTTGTTGGGCTGTGGATGTTTGCTATCACTTACAGGAATATAGTATATTTTTGTTACACTGTACATAGGTTTCTACTTTTGTTTAAGGTTTTGCACCTATGCAGTTCATTTACAAATACAAGGTAAAGTTACAGTTTTTGAAACCTATTATAAATTATTTAGGATATCAAGAACATAGGTTAGTAGTCACCTATAGCAGTCAAATTTGTAAATATATTATAGGAATGTTTTCAAGATCATATAGAGATATTTTAGACAAATGGTTTTCACACACTTCAAAGACCTACATAACATAGCATTTAAAATGCTTTGTTAATCTAAGGTTTTTTTTTTTTTTTTTTTTTTTTTTTAAAAATAATAGTGAGACACATCTGCTCCTGGCAGTACCAATTTACTTCAGAGACAATGATGTGCATTGAAGAAAATCGTTATGGGGTTTGCTCTCAATGTGGCAAGGTAAGCCACTGGGCAAAGAAATCACTCTGCCTTTGACTAATGACAATGTGTTGTGCAGACTGGACATGCAGGACACACAGGAAAGACTGTTGAGCTTTGCCAAAACAAGGCAGGACAGTCCATCAAAATTTCTGCTTCACACAAGTCTGCCAGGTAGTCTGCAGGACACAGAGGAAATTGACTGACAAACTTTGCCAATGCAAGGTTGGACAGTCCTTCAAATTTCCTGCTTCACTGAAAAGTCTGCCAGATACTGTAGGTCTTAGGCTGAAGATGGATTTCCCAAAATTGCAGAGAAACTTCGGGTGACTGTCCAGGCAGGCAGATGTCTCTGTCATTTCTAGAGTTTTGGAAGTTGCTTGCAATGTTCTTCCTGTTTATTCAGGTAATATTATACTCTTCTGGAGTATTTGGAGTTAAAGACTAGATAGTTATAATTACAGTTTTCCTTAGTTATGATAGTATACTAGGTGTAAAACTTTGGATTCACTAAGATAGGCTAGATAATGCTTTATATCTCTGACTATGCTAACTACAAATGGACAGATATTGTAAGTGTAATTCTTACTTGATAACTGTTTTTGTTGCATGTAGTTTTACTATGCTAAAGTTACAACCTTTCATTTATTTATTTATGTTTTGTTTGGAGACAGGGTTTCTCTGTATTGCTTTGGAGCCTGTCCTGGAAGTAATTCCGTAGATCAGGCTGGCCTAGAACTCACAGAGATTCACCTGCTTTTGCCTCCCAAGTGCTAGGATTAAAGGTATGTTCCACCAATGCTCAGCATATTTATTTAGACAAAAAGGGGGAAATGTGGAAAGTTATTTTAAGGTTTAATATTTGTTTATGCTATGGAACATTTGTTTTAAAGATGCAAAGATGTGTTGCAGTCTTTTATGTTGCATTTGTTTAACTCTGAGAAGTCGAGTTACTTTGCCTGTCTAAAACACCTGATGGTTTAATAAAGAGCCGAACAGCCAATAGTGAGGCAGGAGAAAGGATAGGCAGGGCTGGCAGGCAGAGACAATAGATATGAGGAGAAATCTGGGGGGAAGAGGAAATGATCGAAGAGCAAAAAGGACGATAAACAACCACACATATATCAAATCCCATTCCTCTGGCAATAAAATGAATTTAAAAGTAGGGCTATATGTTCTATGCCTTTTAAAATGAGTTCATAGAGTCCTTTCACTATCTTTCTACAGGTGTAAAGAATGTTAGCTACCAAGATGACTATGCATATGTTTGAATGTTTTGTCCTTGCATGGTAGTGCTATTTTGGTAGTTCTTTGGTGAGGCTTTGGGATTTTATCTGTTTCCAGTTCCAGCTCCATGCTTCCTAATCCACTAGGATCAAAGGAATAGCCACGTGCTCACACTGTTATGAATTCCATCACAGCTTTGCCGACGAACTGTAGGCACCCTTTAAAACTGTACACTAAAGCAAACTTTTCCCTTGCTTCTTCTATTAGGTATGGTTAAAGTGGTGAAAAGGTAACTCTGGTTTCTAGGTTTGAAACTGGATCAAAATAACAGGTTAAAAATATAGAAATCAGGAGCTGGGTGTGGTGGTGCATACCTTTAATTCCAGTATTTTGGAGGCAGAGGCAGGCAGATCTCTTTGAGTTCAAGACCATCATGGTCTATATAACAAGTTGCAATTTAGCTACAGTTATGCAGTGAGACCCTGTCTCAAAACAATAATATCAAAAAACAAAACAAAACAAAAAACCCAAAACCAAACTGAAAATACCAACCAACCAAAACAAACAGACAAAAGAAAGGGAGGGAAGAGGAAATAAAGAATTTATTCAGATTCAACAAGGAATATCCTCTTAAAATATTTTTAAGTGGCTGGGTGTTGGTAATGCAAGCCTTTAATCCCAGCACTCAAGAGGCAGAGGCACATGGATCTCTATGAGTTTGAGGCCAGCGTGGTCTACAGAAAAAGTTCTAGGACAAGCTCCAAAGCAATAGAGAAACCCTGTCTCAAAAGAGCCCCCCCACACACACAAAAATTTTTTTATGTGAACAAAATGCTAGGCACAGAAGGATATATGTAACATGCTATGATTTATCTAGCTTTGGGTATCTGGTTAATACTGGCCTCATAAAATGAGGTGGAAAGTGTTACCTCATTCACTACTTTCTGAAAGGTTTTGTATATAATTTGTGTTATTTCTTCCTTAAACATCTAAGAGAATTTCAAAGAGAAGCTTGTACTCTCAGCACCTGGGATGCTGAGTCAGGAGGATCCAGAGTTAGAGGCTAAGAAGGGCTACAAAATGATACTGCCTTAACAAAAAGAAGGGACCAAGTAAGAGAAAGAAAGAATTTAAAAGCAACTCATGTTGGATGTGGATAAGTTAGAAACCTTCAACCAGGTTTTAATTTCTTCAGTAGAACCAGGGTTAGTTTGATTTTAAATTCCTTATTTGTTTTTATCTTTCAAGGAATTTGTCCATCTATGTTAAGTTTGTTGACATAAAATTATTCACAAGCTTCCTTTGTCCTTTCAGTTCCTGTGAATCTACAGTGAAGACACTGCTTCAGTGTCTCTTTTAGCCTTCCACTTGGAAAACACAATTGCCTTCCTTTTTTTTAAGACTGACATTTTTTTGAGACAGTTTTTCTCTGTAGCTTTGGAGGCTGTCCTGGAACTCACACCGTAGACCAGGATGGCCTTAAACTCACAGAGACCCACCTGCCTCTGCCTTTCAAGCGCTTTGATTAAAGTTGTGAGCCACCGCCTGGTTAAGACTGACAATTTTAAAATTCCCTTTGTATTATATGATCCACAAATGTCTATAACTTTATTTTAATGACCTACACATTGAAGAGAGAAATGGATACATGTGACAGCAGTCTCTGTTGAGAGTGTGCCTTACCGACAGCTTTTCCTGTTTGTACCACATTCCGGCTAGTTGTAACCATGACATTGCCAATTTTTTTGCCACGTTCACTGTTCTGAACAGAACTAAGGAAAGAAATACAATTTTTAAAAATCTCATACATTTGAGAACACCCACAACCAAATACTCTATTATCATCCCAAATTAGTACTGGGAAAATAAAAAGCAAAATTATTATGAGTAAATTTCAGAATGTACTAAAAGAACACAAGAATGAGCTAGGAGGTGAGGGCATAAAGACGTATCTCCTTTTCAGACATGGTTTTCTGAGAGCATGTTATCAAATGGGTTACTCTCTGAAACACAAGACCATCAAGCAGATAAAAAAAAAAAAAAAAAAAAAAAAAAACCAAACCACAAAAAACAAAAAACAAAACAAACAAAAAAACCCAACTGACAATGAAACACATGGCACATACTCAGACAGAATAATTTCCCCTTACTCTGTAAGTACTCACTGTGAGAATCTGAGTTTCATGTCTGACACTGAGTATTGGCCTTGAAAAGGATGGCTGTAAAACAAAGTTTAAGTTTAGATTAAGAGTACATCATCAATAATGCTGCAAAGAGCAGTCACAGGTACTGTCAGTAACCTCTTTGGGGGACACAAGCGGACACAGTGTTCTCAAACTGACAGTGGGGCCCTGTACATCATTCCTAATATAAGCTCTAGAAGTGACTCAACAGTTTTGAGCTCTATCTTCTGTTAGAGGTAGACATGTGTGCAGAAGCTACATGGTGAGACTGTCTCAATAACAAAGGACTTTCTTTGAAAAGCAGCCATTTTCCATCCCACCCATCTAGAGGATGTACTTACTTTGGGTTTATCTCTGAAAGTGCTGGGTGCTTATTGCTGTTCCATACCCTGTAGTTGTGAGTATTCTTCCAGGCAGCAACAAAAGTCGTTCCATAGTCTGATAACATCTTTTCATTATCTGCCAAGTAAATGGTTTAAAGAAGTTGAGCTGGACCACAGCCATCTGGGCACAAAGATTAAAACCATAAAGGGTGAAAGCAGAGTATTAAGTCCCACTCCCACAAAGTGGGGACACAGCCTACAGGTGTCAGCAAACTTAAGTTTAGTTCTGGAAATTCTGTTAAGAAGCTATGTAGCCACTGGCAAGTCACTTAATCACTCAGAACTTCATCTTAAGTGGAAAATAAGAGAACTGAGCCAAACCTTTTCCAAGGCTCTCTACAACTCCAAAATGTTTTCATGTTTTCCTTACCATTACAAAGATTATACTACTTACTGAACAAAAACTACAGACTTGACATTAAGTAGACTTACTGGCATAAACAGTTAGAATCTCTTCACAAATGTCAGAAGAGTTAAGACAAGCAAGTAAACTGCTTCTTTACTCACGTTTCCTTTGTTTGGACTTGTCTCAATATTTGGTGCGTCACTCTTGATTATCCAAGCATTGTACAGTCAAAAATACTTAACACAGGATTTTCACATTAATGCTAAATTAGCTTCTGCCTTTGTTGATACCATGGGGAAGTGTCAATGCAGAGCACTGTTCTGCTTGCAGGGACTGATCCAAAAAGCTATTGCCTCACATTTATCACACAGGCATTCACGTTTGCTGTTTTGTTTTTGAGATAAGGTTTTGCTATGTACTCGGGTTTGCTTCAAACTCTTGTAACCCTTCTGGTCTCGGCTTTCTTCTGTCCAGGTAGGTGTTAACTGAGGCATGTGCCACCATGGCTGGCTATGTTATTTACTTTGAAGATGAAATGCAAGTAGCTTTTACTAGGAAAGGCTAGGAGACAGTTGCATCTACAGCTTAAAGGTATGTTTCCACAAGATATTCCTGCAGCTAATTCTCCTCTCCTGATGGTGCTGGGGAATGGACTTGAACCAGACAGCTGGAGCCTCTCAACCATATGGATGAACAAGCTAATGGCATCCCCCCCCCCACATTCTATCTTCTGTATTGGAATGTCTGGGATTACTATTAAGGTAAAACTTAATTACTAGCTATAAAATGAGTTGGGTAGTGGTGATGCATGACTTTAATCCCAGCACTGAGGAGGCAGACATAGGTGGATCTCTGGGTTCAAAGCTAGCCTACAGAGTGAATCTACAGAGCGCGTTCAGGACATAGAAAAACCTTAAATAAATAATAATAATAAAAAGAGTATTAGCTATAGTGTTCAGAACAGACGTTCGACCTTACATGTATTACTATTATTATATTACCTGTGTAGCTTTGGCTGCCCTGGAACTTGCTCTGTAGACCAGGCTGCCTGCCTGTGCCTCCTGAGTGCTGGGATTAAAGGTGAGTGCCGCAGCCACCACCGCCTGGCACAAGATTATTTAACCCACCCTGGCAGATGGGAGTGAGAGTAACGATTGAAAGCCCCGATGACTCAAGTGCAAACCCTCTTCATGACAGTGTGGACACGCACTTTCACAGGTTATAACAAGGCAAACTGCAAGTTAAATGAACCTCACTGCTATTTAAAACAAAAGTAATATAATTTTTCAGTAATGACAACTGAAAAATATTCTAAAATGTACTTTTGCGACAAGTCTACAAGTATTTGTCAAGAGTTCTAGGGTTCCAAAGCTCCACTTCAAGTTCATATTATTTTCTAAGTAGAATAAAGTAGTTTTAACCTGAAATATATGTTTACTTGGCCTATTTTAACCATTTAACAAAAAAAAAATATATGTTTTTGAAGGTCACTCAGAATGATTTGCAATAATTCCTTTAAAATATTTCTTCAGTTAACTTAAAAATGCATAAGCAGTTTATAAACATTGTCAAATACTGACATTTCCTTTGATACAAAATAATCAGCATCCAAGTTGAAGTGAAAACAATCAGTACTGTCTTAACACATGTTGATGTCTCTATCACAAGGAAGGGTAACAGTCAGAAAACATGCTTACATAGACTCACTTTTGTAAAGGCTACTGTAAGCCATAAAACCAAAGTTCAAAACATAAGAAAAAGGTTTGCTAAGATAAAGTATTCAAAATGTCAGAGCTGTTATGTCTATTTGAATAAGGGGTGATTTTCTACAATGAATACCTCTTTCTTATGCAACTCAAAATATCCATAAACACCAGAACATGAAAATTTATGGGAAGAAATGTGGTTGTTTGCTTCTTACCTAACTGCAGTGTAGCAGCCAGCAGAGCATGGATATAGACTGCAAATTGGGCCCGGATCCATTCGTCCCCTCCTTCCCAGCCTGTGCCATCCAGGAAGACATCATCTCGGTTCTCAGTCACATGCCTCACTAGGTAATCTGCGAACCTTAGGTCTGCTGTGGTTGGGTTAAGCAGCTTCCTAAGTTCTGGATCGTGGATCTGGATCAGTGCTTCCTCTACCTACAAGAGTACCCAGGTACAAGTCAGAGCTGGGACAATCACACAGACATCCATGTCACACTTTAAAAAGAAAAACTGGGAAATAAAAAGTTGGAAATAAAAAGAAAATATGAGTAACAGTATTCTCAAAGACGAGTCTAAGAAAGAGACAGGTTTTTACATACTTTTACATACAGGTTTCTATATACTTTTACTTTTATAAAAAATGACTTTTTTATTTTTAGAAAATACAGGCAGAGGAGCATAGATGACTCAGTGGCCAAGAGCACTTGCTGTCTTAGAGAGGATCTGAGTTTGTTTTACAGCACCTGCGTGGTTGCTTATATGCATGGTTAACTCCAGTTCCGGGGAGTGTGACACCCTCTTCTGACCCCCACCGGCACCAGTGTGCACACAGTACACACATATACATATGTGTAGGCAAAATAAGCACTTGTATACTTAAAAAAAAAAAAACATGACTTACTTAAAAAGATACATGTGCAAATAAGAACATGACTTTGAACTATAAAAGTAATTCATACTTTTAAAAATATTTGGCAGTGCAAGTATTTGGGGAAACGTAGATATATACACAATGAAACTTGCCCTTATATTAACACAGAAAAGAACAAGCTTAGTTATAAGTTCTTTAAATTTTTCCATTTTGAGGGCATGTATACTTCAATATATTTCAAATACTGTACAAAAAGACTACCTTGCAAGGTTCTGTTTCGTTCTTTAGCTGTGGTGATTAAACTCAGGACCTCAGGCATACTTAGCAACTGCTGTACCCGTATACTCACCCCCAAATGTTAGCTTTAGATGAGGTAATAAAACATCTATCAAACAACGTCGGAAAGTTAAAGCACTTTGTGATTCTCTCAACTGTACCCTCTTATTTGGTATATAATGTTTTTCCCCCTCACTCAAATTTGGGATAATAAATATAATTTTGAATCTTAGACTTTTCATTTGCTATATTTCAACCATTTTCGCACAATGTATAAACTTTCTGTCAGTAATTATAAAAGCTTTAGTGATGTTAAAATTGTGAAATTAATTGAGTAATTAAAAAATTTAAATATAGCTGGGCAGAGGTGGCCCACAGCTTTAATCCCAGTACTCAGGAGGCAGAGGCTGGCAGATCTCTGTGAGTTCCAGGGCAGCCTGGGCTACAGAGCATGTTTCTGGACAGATTCCAAAGCCACACAGAGAAACTGTCTCAAAAACACAAAAACAACAGCAAGAAATTTAAATATGTCGATAAGGTATCAAATATCTACTCTGAACTTCCATAACATAAGGAACATATTAAGCAGGATAAATTAGTTTGAAATTTGTTTAAATTAGTTTGAAAATTTCACATTTTAATAAGGCACTGAGACCATGTTGGGTTGGTTTACTCAGGCTGGAATCCTTGCTCAAGCATTTATCAGTTGTTTGATAATGGGAAAAATAACTTAACTTGTGTACCTTAGGTGCTGCTATCTTATAGGGCTGTTAGGAAAATTAGATCAGTTAGTACACATAAAGTAAGGAAGCACAGTGAAGTATGCCTTTAATCCCAACATTTGGGAGGCAGATTTCTGAGTTTCAGGGCAGGATACACAGAGAGGCCCTGTTTCAAAACAAAACAAAGAAAAACAAAAACCCAAAACAAACAAAAATATATAATTAAAATTACTGGAGTAGTGCAAACGTTATTTTCTTTATTAGTGCTGTTACTATAGCTTCACAATTACATTTAGGAAAGGAAGAAGTGAGTTGGCAGGCCAAGTATATACTCAGACAAACGTACTTCCACAATGGCATCACTGAGGTGCTTCTGTTGTCGAAAGAGGATGTTAGTAGCTCCAGCCACAAATCCCCGGACAGTGACATCAGAGAGAAGATGATGCTGCTGCAACGCCATGTAAGGCAAACACAGATATCCCTGTGGATTATAAGAGCAACAGAAAAGAACAGAAGAGTCAAAAAAAAAAAAAAAAACAGCTACTTCTCTTTTCAAGCTAAAAGCAGAAGAGCAAAGAGTAGAAAAATGTCCATTCTTCCCTGCCTGTCTAGTTAATCTCTGACTCAATAAAATGATATTCACGGATGAATGTCTCGCCTTGACTGCAATCAAGTCCAGTTACTGATTTACTAATTTTCTTTACAAGACTCAAACCTCTGCAAGGCTGTCTCACTTGATCACTTTGGTTTTGTTCCAATTTAAATAAAGTCTGACTTTTTTGATTTAGTTAATTAAAAACATTACATTCATTAAAAAGTATGCTATCTATCAGCACTTAGGAGGCAGAGGCAGGCGGATCTCTGTGAGTTCGAGACCAGCCTAGTCTACAAGAGCTAGTTCCGGGACAGGCTCCAAAACCACAGAGAAACCCTGTCTCGAAAATCTCCCACCAAAAAAAGAAAAGTTATGTCATAGGAAGCAGTTAAGAATTTTAAAACATGTATCTGTACATGACCACCACCATGCAATGAGAAATGAGAATAGCATCCGTTCATTATCAAATTGCAAAAATGTCAAAATATTTGCTACAAACTAGTTGAAGCTCAAATTACACTGACAGTATCTGTGTTTAATTTCCATTTGAAATAGCACTGCCTTAAAATTATACACTCAGCAGGCATTTAAGTCTGCAAACCAAGCGAACAAAAAAGCAAGCTCAACCCAGTACAATCCCCAGAGTTAAAGGTGTGGTCAGTGGTAATGATTTGTGCATGAATGCAGGGCAGTGCTGTTTAATTTTATTTGTAGCTTCATGCTGTACATAAATCATTGCACATACCAAAAACCTATTTTGATCTTTCAGCAACAGTTTCTATTTTCCATTTTCCTTTCTGTGAATATTTTGACTGGGCTACTTACAAAGAACCTTGTCTTGAAAACACATACACATCTCTCTACCCAGTACTTTACCTAAATTTACACCTGCTCATCTGTTGATATATTTTTAAGTTGTTTAATAGAGCACTGTTTATTGTAAATAGGATTCATAGCTTCATGAAGGGAAGAATACATTTCTAGTCATATAATGGAACATTCTAAAGCCATCAAAAATGATGAGCTCAACTTTCAAGAATGTCATATAAAAGTAGTCAAGGGGCAGAAAAGTATGAGCACAGACTGCTATTATTTGTGTAAAAGGCGTAGGGAAAATCAGTGGGAAGGTCTTGCTGGTCAGAGGCTGTAGTCTATCATGGCTTGGCAGCTTTTTCAAAGCTCAGTGACATGGGGACTCCCCCCACCCTCCACCAACGAGAATTCCTGTTCTCTACCTGCCATTATCTAGAGAATGTCCCTGAGCCCACAGGACTGACCTTGTCTGAAAGCTGTCTCTAAGCCTGGATGCCAGCTTTATCTCTAGGCTGACCCTTGTACAGTTCCCTGTTACAACCTCCACTGACGCACATATGGCAACTAAGACTTGTGCCAGGAGCATTGCTTCAGGACCCTGCTGTCACATATGAAGCCTTATGGTGGGGTTTGTCCCCAGACTCCCCAATCCTATATATTTCCTGTACTCTGCAATAAAACAGCAGATTCACCAAAGCTGTCTGTTTCTCTGAGGGCTGTCTCTGTTGCAAACACAACTTTCTAAACCCCATTCCCTGCTCCTGTCCCCTCCACCCTCATGGACCAATGCACCACTCAGTTTGGAGGAAGAAGCAGAACCACAAGAATCTATTTCCTTATGCCATAAAATACCGAAAGAAGGAAATAAGACATTGGTAATGTTCGCAGACATTCTAGAAGGTGGATGGGCAGAGACATGATGAGGAAACATTTCTTTCTGGTTCTGGCAGTTGAATCCACTGTGTGTATGCCAGGCATACATTCTATATCCTCAGTCCATAGAAAGTTTTATTACAGGTGCTTCAGACCATTTTACTATTGAACTTAGTGGAAATATTATATTGATAGAAGTTCAAAAGAGTTTAATATAGTGTCATTATTTTTCTTTCCATGATGCTCAATTTAGCTAAAGTCTTTGGGAGGTGCTGGAATATGGTTGCAGGAGAATATAGGTCTTTTTCCAAAAAGATTTCACACCTAAACCCACACCTGGCTTCCTACTTATCTAGGACAACTTAGCATCTGTATTTGAAATAGCATAAACTAATAAGACAAAAAAAAAGGCAGAACATTTATCACATATGACTAATATACACTAATGCACAAATTACAACAAATAAAAATCCCAAGCAGATATCAGTGAGATATGTGCATATCCATATTCTCAGAAGTATTCATGATAGCAAAGCAGTGGGATCAAAGAAAGTATCCGCCAATGGATGATTAAAAAAAAAAAAAAGAGTAAGGTAGAAAAATATAATGGAACATTCATCTCCCCTTCAACTACACATACTAAAAACTCTATATATTCAGTTATAATTTGAGCAGTTAAGTGACTTTGTTTTTATTTTCTGAGACAGGTCCTACTATGTATCTTCAGCTAGCCTCAAAGGATCTTCCTGGCTCAGCTACCAAAGTGCTGGGTCACAGTCATGTGCCACCACGCATGGCTGAGATAATTATATTCCATTATTTACATTTTTTTTGTTTTAAATGTACAAATAGCAATTATAATGAAGTAACTTCTAATCACAATTTTTACGCTACCTCAACTGATTATACTAAATGACTTGCACCTGGAGAGGAAAGCCGACACATGCCACATTAGACAGAAAGCGATCCCAGTCCTTTCTAGCCAGTCAGACCCTAACTATGCCAGAATATGCCCAATTCCAGTACAAAATCAGGGGGAAATGGAAGACACTCAATACTAAATTCTAAATTTTCACACCTTAAAACACTTCTCTCTCTTTTTCAGTTCCTCACCCGCCCCCAGTTCCTCTGCTCATTAAACTGCAGAACATGAGTTCAGACGCATTTGTTGTAAAGTTTTGTTTTCTGCCATTCTTGGTACCCACAATTTACTTCCTGCCACTCCATGGGTACCCTGCTGCTAGCTGCTGCTAGACTCATCATTTCCTCAGTCCTTCTGTTACTTCTGTATGTTTTCTTAAATCAGCTCTCAGGAAAAGTTAAGACAAACATTTGGCATTCTATTACCTCTAGTGTTTACATAATAAAACTGGTCTGTAAGACTGATGACGTGGCATTAGTCTTATCCAAGTTCAAACACTAAGGTGAGGAACTGGTTTAGCGTTAAGAGCACAGGCTGCAGCCCAGGGGTTCCCAGCACTTGGGAGGCAGAGGCAGGTGAATCTCTGAATTTAAGGCCAGCCCAGTCTACAGATTGAGTACCAAACAAAAAATGAGCACAGGCTATTAGCAGCATCTACATGGTGGCTCTCAACCCTGTCACCCAAGGGTGTCTCTAGGGTATCTAACACCTTCTGACCTGAGCAGGCACTGAATATACACATATACATACGGGCAAAAGAAATCTCACACGTGTAAGAGAAAAGTAGATCTAAAAGAACTTCAGGATGAAAACAGCTTAAAGACAATGTGGTTTTAAGAACATTTCATCTTCCAAAGTTACTGACAAAAAGGACTAGTATTTGTAGTTAGGAGTGTGATAAAGCAACAAATTGGGTTTTACTCAACACAAAATAAAAGATAAAGTCAAGAAGAAAAATGATTTAGTTATCATAGTAAAGTTGTAAGCCTATCACATAGTCAGTACCAGCATAAAGAACATAAATCTATCAGGTAAACATGGTTTATTGACAACATTCACACCACTTTAATTCAGTAACTTGACCCTCAAAACCAAAATCCTTCTTCAGTTTATTTGCCTCCTGATAAAAAGTGCTCTGAAAGACACAGGAGAAAGTGCCAGTTTAAAAAAAAAAAAAAATCACAATCTTGGGTTGGAGAGCCAACTCGGCGGTTATCACCCGATGCTTTGCAGGGCACTTTGGGTTTGCTTTCCAGCACACACTCACAGTCGGCCACAATAGGGCTACAGCATATGTACATATATTTTCTTACTAAGGGTTGCTATTGCTGTGGTAATACACCGTGACCAAAGCCAAGTTGGGGAGGAAAGAGTCTATTTCTCCTTACTACTCTCAGGTCACAATCCATCACTGAGTGAAATTAGGGCAGGAAGCTGGAGGGACAAACTGCAGCAGAAACCTAGAGGGATGCTACACTGGCTTCTTGCTCAACCTGCTCTTACACAACCTAGAACCACTTGCCCAGGGATAGAGCCACCCATGATGGACTACTGAGCTCTCCCCGTCAATGTTTAATTAAAAAAATGCCCTGCAGAATATTCACAGGCCAATCATAGAGAGTTGGTTTCTTAATTAAGATTTCCTCTTCCTTTTTGTGTTAAGTTGACAAAAACTGACGAGGACACTTGGTCCCTTGTCAACTTGACACAAACATATCACTTATTAATCATAAGCCTTCCTTTCTTATTCATCGCCAAGATCTATTACTATTACAATATAAACTGAACATAAAAGAAGTTCATCAGTCTTTAAAACATTTCAATACTTTAAAAGTCCAAGTTTTCTTTAAAAATCAACTTTTTTTTTTTTTTTTTTTTTTTTTTTTTTAGTTCAGTCTCCTTAAAATATCTAAAGGCTCATAACTGTGGTTTCCTATAAAATAAAAAAAGCAAGATAAGGACTTTCTTATTCCAAGAGAAATAAAGGTCTAGACAATCTAAACAAAAGAAAACCTAGGTCGGTTCCACAGTGTATAAAGCTCAGTGTCAGACAACTGGGGCTCAATCTTCTCAACCTCCAAAGGGCTTGAGCCACCCCACTGCTCTGGCTCCGCCATCCAGGCACACACAGTATGTTTATAGCCTCTCAATTGCTCTAGTTTTGATGCTTACCACATTACTGGGATTTCTAAAATGCAGGTGTCTCTGCCACAAATGGACTGCACCTTCACCAATAAATAGCCTCTCTGCAGCTCTCTTCAGGGACTCTGACCCCGCCATACAATGCTAAGTCTCAACTTGACAACCTCTTCAGTCATGGGGCTCCTTTACCTGAGGACGCACATCCACTAGAGGCCTTTCCTTGCTTCTTACGTAGTGCTAATCCCCAGCTACTCTCCACATCCCCTTCATGGTATGAAAACCAGTACCATCTGGGAGTCTTACACTTTACCAAGTTTAGTGGACAGCACAACAGCCTTGTCCTGCTCTGGACCACACCCTGTGTGCTGACCCAGACGAAAAGCTTCGCAGTTGTTTGTCTTGATGATGTTGGTCTCTTTCAGGTGTGCTTGCCTGCGTGTGCGTGTGTTTGCGTATTTCTGTTTAACAGTCCCAGCTGTCCTGGAACTTGCTCTGTAGACCACACTGGCCTTGAATTCATAGAGATCCTACCAGCCTCTGCCCCCAGTGGGGTGGGATTAAAGGCGTGGGCCACTTTGCCCAGCTTGCTGTTGGTCTCTTTCTGATCACAGCTGATTCTTTAGCTCCAGCTGACCACTATCAACTGTCCCAGTTAAAGTAAAGGTTTCACTTTAGTGGTTCTGGCCTCTTGTTAATTGTAGAGGATTCCTCACCCCAGATGATCAGATCTACATTTCTTTACTCAAAATAACAAATGGCCCTGATAGTTCCTAAGGGACTCTTCAAAATTTCCTCTGAAATGCCACAAGCCAGTACGCAGCATTCTTCCATGGCTTCTGCTTCAGGTCCTGCTTCCAGGTTCTTGCCCCGGTTTCCCCAGGGATCAACTGTGGCCTAGGAGTTGTAAAGTGAAATGAACCCTTTCCTTTCCACGTTGCTATAGAAACCCTAATTAATACAGAAACTGGTAGGAGGTTCAAGGGATTTGGGGGAAGATAACAGAAGGACTTTGAAACTTTGGGCTACAAAAGCTATTTAGTGTTCAGGTGTTAATAAATTGTTGTGGGAACTTAGAAGTGAATACGAGAGCAATGTGGACAATGGAGACCTGGCTTGTGAAGTTTCAGAGACTGTCAATGTCTCAACATTATTTAAAAGTCTAAGGTCTTTTGTAAATTCTCAAGGGAGTCTCTTGATTATAGCCCCTTGTAAAATCAAAACTTTTGACATAGATTGGCACAGAATATACATTACCACTCCAAAAGGCAGAAAAGGGGGCACGGTTAGGAAATACTGGACCCAAGCAAGACTAAAACCCAATAGGAAAAACTTCAAATCCTGAAGCTCTATGTCTGATGATGTGCACTTTAATTTCAAAAGACTTAGATGGCTCTGCCTCTCCAGCTTTGCAGCCTGTAACATAAACACGTTTCGCCTGGTTTCACTCCCTGTATGCAGCTCTCTCTGGCAGATATGCTATGGCTCTGGCTCAGGGTTTCCACACCAAAGAAGACTTAATTTTCACAGATCCATTCATATAGGCTGCCAACCTCAGAAACTCTCTAAAGCCATGGAGGAGGAATCCACGACCCTTCCTTCATACTTCTAAAGGCAGCACCCCGTGGATATCATTGTCAAGTTTGGCTGCCAGCTTAGGATGAACTCTGGCTCCCTTAATTACATTAAGCAGCAGAGCTTTTTTAAAGCAGAAAAGGCCTTAGGACCTCTTACATAAGTCTGAAACTTAGCTGGGTAGAATCTTGTCCGAGGGCATCCTTCCCTTTATTGTAGGGCTGAGCAGGCCTCTCCTTAATGACATTAATTTCCTTAACTCTTTTAGCATAAGCTTTGGCTGCATCATTAACTTTCTTGGTTTATTTTAAATTGTACATTTTGTATGTATTTCTGTCCTACTTACTGTTTTTTCATCATAGATCTGCATAAGAGTTATCAATAACAACAAAGCCAGATTCAGTATTACGTTGCCTTGAAATTGTCAGACATTAGTCTATTACTTTAAATTTAGCTGCAGAAAAGTAGTTAGGACAACTTTCTCTTGTGATAAAACACCATGACTAAGGCAGGTGACAGGAACAAGAAACTGAGAACTCACACGTTCAATGGCAAGTGGGAAAGGCAGCGGTATGAAGCTTTTAATATCAAAGCCCACCCCAGTCTCACCCTTTCTCCAGCAAAGCTCCACCACCTCAAATGCAACTGTCAATGGGAGGCCAAATGTTAAAATGCCTGAGCACTTTAGGTCAATTTTCATTCAATCACTATTCCTACCCTTTTTTGGTTTTCATGTATGTTTTACTTCATGAATAAAAGATGAATAATGTACACAGAAAAAACAGGCTTTAATTACTTGGAAGGCATATTTATATTTTGAGGATGGAAAGAATTTATGATAACTAGCACATAGGACAATAATATGTGTATAGTAAAAATTGAAATGGACTTTTTTTCCTGTTCCACTTCGAAAAATAATTCACAAATGGCAATGGTAAATTTTTCCTAAATAATTTGAAAAAACAAAACCAAAACCATTTCAAATGAAGCAGCCTCAGGTATATCTTAGAATCATTGTTACTGGTTTATTGTACCATCTTTAATGCAGGACTGATGTTAAAAAATTATATCCAATGACATAAGATTTTGAATCAAAGACTTAATTTGATTTATTACATTGTGCTTAGTTATTTAGAAGATATACTTCCGTTAATATTACAAGTATACACCATGATACCTGGATCGAATGGTTTGTCATAAAATGATTAAATAGTTTTGGGATATAATTTTACACTAAAAAAATAGCAAAATTAAGTATATAAAATCCATATATTCTTAATGAGTATAAATATGTATACTTATGTAAGTTGACATTTAAGCAATTTTTTTTGTTCTAAAATGGAAGCTTTTAGAATTATTTCTTTTTTTCTCAGATAGTCTCTCTATGTTGTCTAAGTTGGCCTTAGACTTCTAGATTCAAGTGGTTTTCCTGCCTAGTCTACTATGTAGCTGGAGTTACAGGCTATAAGCACAGTATTTTAGTACAAACTTTAAAGTTCAGTCAGGATTGTCTAGACTTCTTATTCACACGGATTTCATTTCATTCTTTGTTTTCAAAGAGAAGTCTAAATAGTCAAAAATGGACTGAATACAGTGACTGCTGGCCTCACTACCCAGTAGCTTCAAAAGTCTTTCCCTTTGAGCTTTTTCCCCATAGTTTTAAATACGGTCACAGATCTAACAGCACTATGCATTCAGCATACATTTTTCAGTTTTCAAGGACAATTTTTAGACTCTCAAATGCGTTCACACACTTAATGTCCTCAATAAACGATCTGCATTTTACCTTTGTAAAGATGGCCAGAGGCATGCCGTACTGGTCCTCTTCCAAACCAGAAATGAGTCCTGGTATCAGGACCACCTGCCTGGTGTTAGCTTGAGGTTGTACAGTAATTGGAGGACTGTCTGAGGGCATAGAGTCTTTTTTAAATATGTGTGTCTGGTCTGACCCCATCTGTTCCCTTTCTTTCAAGCTAGAGTCCTCTAAAACACTAGGATCCAAAGTTTCCCAGTCACTTTCTGAAGACTCTGGAGATGGACGAGGTGGGAGTTTCAGATAGCGGCCAGTATCACTGGGTTCTTGTTCTTTGTTGTTGTTATCTTCTACTTGGAAACAAGGCTTTTCCAACTGGAGGACAGTGTCTCCTCCATGGTTTCCTGAAATGACTTTTGTGACAGTTCCCAAGCTGGTATTTGAAATGTCAGAGGTGGACTCAGAAATAAAATCATCTGCAGGGTTATTACTTTCCTGAAGCCCAACATCTTCAGACATACTCTTTCGGGGTCTATACTGAGAACAGTCACTGAGGCCATGTTCAATCATGCCTAAAATATAAAATATTGGAGAACAGCTTGGATTATAATAACATAGAAGAAAATAAGAAGTATATGTTTTATTTCATAGAGTGGAAATCTATAATTTTTTTTTTCAAAATCTGTATTTATACCTGAATTAATCCCAGTCCTCACATAGGCAGAGGCAGGCAGATTTCTGAGTTTGAGGACAACCTGATCTACATAGTGAGTTCCAGGACAGTCAGGACTACATAAGAGAAATTCTATCTTGTGGGGAAAAAAAGCGTTAAGATGGAAGCCTGAATACTCAGGTTCTATACCACAACACACACACACTGGAAGAAGGGAATACTCTTACAAGCTGTCCTCTGACCACCAACATACCATGGAATGTAGCAACCCCCCCCCCCCCACACACACACTGCTAAAAAATAAAATAAAGAAATAAAGACACACAGACTTATTGTTGATCATGCTGTATGAAAGACGTGTCACCTGCCTCAGGCACCTTCTGGTTGATATAATAAAGAGCTGATTGGTCAATAGTTAGGCAAGAGAGGATAGGGGGCACTTTCACCTGTCCTCCAGATAGGAACTCTAGGAAGAATCTCAGAGGCAGGGGGTTGCCAGCAAGTGGAGGAAGTCAGACATATGGTACTGAGGAGAGGTAACAAGCCACATGGCAGAATGTAGATTAATATAAACAGGTTAATTTAAGTTTAGGAATCAGTTGGGAACAAACCTAAGCTATAGGCCAAGCTTTCAGAATTAACAATAAGTCTCTGTCATTATTTGGGAGCTGGCAGTCCAAAGAAAGACCTGCTACATTGGCTATTGGCTAAAGGGGGAGGGGGGGAAACCCAACTATTACCAAAAGAAAAATTAAAAGAGAAATGTTAATATTAATGAGTTTATTTTTGTATACTTTTATTACTAAAAGTTTAAAGTAAAATAACCTTAAACAAAAATAGCTGTGGCTATCCTCTTACCTGGAAAAAGGGATAACACAGTCATTAGGGCACCCACCAATCTATTCACTGGAGAAATGTAAAAAAGAACCTGAAATGGATTCCAATGAAATGAAGTTAGAAAATTCAAGAGACTATAATAATATTTAAAGGAAAGATTCTTTGCATATGATTAATACTTAAAAACAACAAACAGGGGCTGGAGAGATGGCTCAGCAGTTAAGAGCACTGACTGCTCTTCTAGAAGACCCAAGTTCAATTCCCACCACCCACATGGTGGCTCATAGTCCTCTCTAATGGGATCTGATTGCCTCTTCTGATGTGCACGAGGACACAAAATAAATAAACACATCTTTAAAAACAAACGACACGGCCCCACCCCCCAAACCCTTAGGTCATGATTTAAAAAAAAAAAACAACAAAAAAATCAGCTTTCCTACGCACCACAATTCAGGTACAATTTGAGGTCTGGTGATAATTCAAAGGATAAAGGTGCCTGCCAAGCTGGATGACCTCAGTTTAATCTGTGTGTCCTACATAGAAGAAGAAACTCCTCCTACACACACACACACACACACACACACACACACACACACACACACACACACACACAAATGTAATTATAAAAATACTGCCAACAGACTGTTGGGCTTAATATTTTTAATCTGAAACTAACCCCAAGAAGACAATCACACATTTAATTCTGTAATATCTGACCATATTCTTTTAAAAAGTGCCAGTGGAACTCACTTCAGCAGCACAGATACTAAAATTGCAACTATACAGAGAAGATAAGCATGGACCCTGTGCAAAGATTACATGCAAATTCATGAACATTCCTATTTTTTAAAAAGTGGCAACCATAACTGGGTGTTGGTGCACACTTTAGTTCTAGCACTTGCGAGTCTGAGGCCAGCCTGGTCTACAGAGTGAGTTCCAGGACAGCCAGACCTGTTACACAAAACCCAAAAAAACAGCTAGTACTCTGCTTCCTGAGTACTGGGATTAAAGGCATGCATCACCACCACCTGGACAGAAAACTTTTTCTACAAAACTCATCATAGCACAATAGTTAAGAACAGCTGCTGCTCTTGCAAAAGACCAGAGTTCAATTCCTAGCCCACATTAGGTACCCTGTAACTACAGCTACAGAGTATCTGATGTTCTATTTGTGGCTTCCACAGGTACCCACACACAGACACACACATAAACAGAAGTACACACATACACATTCCAAAAACAAACTTCTATAAAAACAAGTGGTAAGCTAGAATTGGCCTAGTTCATAGACCTGAGGTCAGCAACAATCATGGCAATCCCAAATTCCATCTCTTTGTAGTACAGATCGGTCTGGAACCCAAATTTAAGCCTATTAGTGTAGACAGACTTTTGGTAACAATTCTGAATTTAGTGGTGGTCATGCTACCTAATTGGCCCAAACAAACTGACTAGACAAATTCATATTCAATGATTTGGGAAGTCGTATGTCTGAGGAAGGAAACAGCCAAATTACTGTTGGAAGTTTCTTGTATATAAAAGGGATGGGCTCTGGGTAAAATTAATTGGACTGTAGAAATCCAAGGTTGTAATACCCTGGAAGCACCAAGTCTGACTGAACTAACACATTTCTTTTTCTATTTAAGTTAGTTTAAACTTCTTTTGGTGACACTATAATTGAATATACTATCAAACTGCCTCCAAAAAGAGCACACAAATTTTTTATGACAGTAAAGAAAATAATTTTGTTTCATTTGATAGACAAAATACGTCTTAATACTTAATCATCAATTCCCTGTTACATAATATATAAGCAATGTCAATAAAAGATAAAACATCTGTTCTTCCTTTCAACCTTTGTGTATCTCACCTTTTTTTCAAGAAGAATTAGCTTGAACAGGATCAAGACCTGCAGAAAGAAAATGAAATGCTGTGTTAAAATAAGAACTCTGGTCTATTAATCATTTGTTATTTTCTTTTCTCAAATACAATCATGTTATATAATATTAAATAATTATAGTACTTATGATACATGAGAAATTATGAACTTGAATTGAGAAATTAAATATTATCAATGTCCTCAAGAAATATGAGAATCATTTACTCTTTAATTAAAATTGTTTGTTTTTGGAAGGAATAGTTTTATCTCTGCTTGAAAAATTTCAAGAAAAGGGAGAGATTTGAGGCTAGGGAATGTGTGCACCTACCACCGTGTATGACAGCCCTGTGTTCAGATACTCAGACATTTAAACTATGCATGGTGGTACACACTTGTAATCTCAGCACTCAGAGGTGGAGGCAGAAATTCAGTCATTTTTAGCTACACAGTAAGTTCAGAGCTAGTCTGGAATATATAGCATTTACATGGATATTCAATGAAAGTTTGGTAAATAAATGACTAATGTGCCTATGTCTTAGACAACATATAATTAACTATAAAGATCATAATGTCTGGCACCAAAAACCACAACAAAAGAAAAAAATAATTTATGTAGAAAAATGTTCCATTTTTAGGGAACACATTTTTTTCACCCACACTAAGTGAAATTGCAGACTGCAGAACAAAGGAATCAAAAGCAAACTCTATTCAGCAAGAGGTACTCCCAGACTTTAACCACACAAATACTCCTGATGCCTCAGCTCTGTGTGGTTACAAAGCTGTCTAAAAGGAGCAAAAGCACAATTATGCTGTCAGCTGATTGTGATGCTGCCTACTGAGTTCACAGGAAAAGGAACCCAACAACAGCCTTTCCCATTTCAATACATCACAAGTTGAAGGATATCTATCACACCTTGTGTCGAAAATGAAGGACAAGATCTCGAGGAGACAGACCTACAATGTAAACAGGAGAGCTAAGTGTGAACGGAATAGAGTAACTAAAAAAGCAAATGAGAATATGTAAATATTTAAACATTTATGTAATATTTGGTTAAATATATATACACACAGAAAGAGTACTGCCTAACATAATCTTCCCCAAGAATGAAAATGTTTAAATATGCCCTGTCAGACACATTAGCTACTGAGGACTTTAAATATGACTTTAAATTTTTATTAACAGCAATATAAATATACAGGTCTATACATTCTTAGTGAATACTGCTTTAGACACTGGGTCTAAGACAGCTATTCTACAAACATAAACCACCAAAGTTTAAAAATCATGACGCTTACACCATAGTGGCAGCCAATCATTTAAATGTGGCTTCTGGTCACTATATTACATATAATGTTATTTTTTTCTTTTTAATCATACTGTGTTCCTATTATTCATCTCAAACATCACAGTAAAAGAGAAAAGAGTTTATAAATACACTCTCAGAACAGGACTATCTAGCTGACTTTCTGTATAACGATATTAGTATTAGCTATTTCACATTGAAATGGAAACCGAGGAAGCACATGTCACCATAATTGAATATTCACTACAAAAGAATAAGTATTGAGTGTCTCGGGTAACAATGGATGTTTTGAATGTCAAAACAGTGTACATAACAAATCCCCAAGATGAAGAGTCTCAGTCAAGAGCTAAGCAGCACCCCATCCCCCAGCACTGGTAATTACACTGATCATCATTAAGGGAAAGAAGTCCAGTGTTATTCTAAAAAGCTCAAACTCACCTGTAACTGTCACTATCAGTGTAAGAGAATTATCAATCTTGTATTAATGCTGGCTAAGAGGGCATTTAAGAAAGAAAGCAAACTTCAGAACTTAGATCCCATACAAAGATTGTGTGAATATTTAATTACTTGTATAATATTCAATGAAACCCAGTTTGGACACAAACAATTTTGAGGACATAGCATCTGACCTGCAAGTTACTTACCAAGATACACCTGTGATCCTTCTAATGAGGCCCCTCCTAAGGAACTGTTCATATGCTCATAGAGCTCCTGTGGAATGCAGACTGAGTTTAGAACCTTTCACTGTCACTTTAGACACTAAGCAACCAGAAATAGACAATCAGAAAAGGATTGTGTAGGTTATTCTGCCATCTACTAAATTACGCAACCAGTCTGTGAAACCTACTAGTTTTCAGCACTCAATTCATTCCTTCTCTTGTAGATAACATCAGGAGAGTACCTGAGCAAAAAGCTACACAGGACAGTCTCTTTTTTGAGCCATTTCAGAGCTTTAATAGTAGTACAAATTACCTTCCCTCTGCCTAGTTTTTACATTCTAACTGCCCTTCTTCCCCAGGACCCAGGACAGATCCAGGAACTAGAAAGCAGATGCTCAAATTTATAGACATAATGCCATAGCACAACACTTGTAAAAGACATTGATAGTTATTTGTAGTTACTACTTCCTCAAGGACAGTTTGAGTTTAGTACTTGGGTAGAGCTTGCTAGAATATCAATGTTTAATGCAAATATATTTTAAATAAAGATTTACTTTTATTATATATATTTTAAAGAGGAATCTTAACACTTTTCTTAATGTGCATGTGTGTCCCTGAACAAGCCAAAGAACACATCAGACTGATCCCTAGATGGTTGTGAACCATTCAATGTGCTGGGAACCAAACCTGGCTCCCCGGCAGGACAGCAAGTGCTCTTAAGCACTGAGCCACCTCGTGGGGCCAAGCAAATGGATTTTCACACCATGTTTTTCTTAAACTATCCTTCATAGTACTACTACAGAGCTACTTGATTCATTAAGCTACCTTCCATCAAACACATTTGTAGGGAAATTAGTTACCTTTAGAATAGAAATTTGGGAAAAATCCTTCTCTTCAAAATACGCATGTGTAATGAGTTGAAGTTTTGCTTGAAGTAAGCCATAAAGAGGCTAAAGAAAAAGAAACCATCATTAGGTTGATCATAGTGAACAACAGGAACAAATAAACCCCTATCTTTTTCTCTGACAATATCAGGAAGGAAATTTATTAGCACCATCTGAGGCCCACATACACAGCTGAAAGCTGTGATATCAGGCACTCGCTCTGTGACACCAGGTGAAAGCTATCTTGGTAAGGTGGTGGTGAGTCAGCTCAGACTCTCGGCCTGGCTCCATCTTTCAGCTGCTTAATTAAGGGCCCTTAACCCTTTCATACCTCCTCACCAGTGACCCTGTACACAAAAAAGGTGCAACTTCTATGGCTGTGTTAAGATCAAATAATAGGAAAAGCACTTAACAGAGTCTCTGGCACATAGCAAGAATGTAAATACCTACTACATTCATTCTGTTGTGGTAATGTCTAATCATCCTCAAGTGGTCTGGTTCCTACACCAAGCTCAACACTGACTTAAGCTCACATCCTTTGTTACCTGTTATCTGTGGAAGGTGAGAGCACCTAGTCTATGTCTTCTAACATAATATTATTTTGTATACTTGAGCAAAGTTATCCTTTAATTCTTATTTTTCCTACCCAAAATGGATCATATCCATCCTTTTGTTTAACATTCTTGAGACATTTTCTCATTTATGTGTCTCTTTTAGAATACAAGCAATACCGAGCTAGTTCGTGTTGCAGAATATTTGTTCACACTGTGCAGACGTGTCTTTGCCAAGGAACCTTTTGATTGGTTTAATAAAGAGCTGAATAGACAATAATGAGGCAGGAGAGTTTAGTGGGGACTTCTGGGGACAGAGTGGACTCTGAGAATAAAAAAGGCAGACTCAGAAGACTCCAGGCAGACTCAGAAGACACAGGAAGTGCAAGAAGGAAGAGACATAATGCCAAGTGGCAGAATGTAGATTAATATAAGTGGATTAGAGCTGGGCGTTGGTGGCACACGCCTTTAATCCCAGCACTCGGGAGGCAGAGACAGTGGGATCTCTGTGAGTTCAAGGCCAGCCTGATTTACAGAGCTGTTCCAGGACAGGCTCCAGAGAAATACAGAGAAACCCTGTCTCGAAAAACAAACAAACAAACATAAATGGGTTAGATTAAATTATAAGGACTAGTTGAGACATGCTTAGGCCAAGCATTCACAATTATAAGTCTTTGTGTCATTATTTGGGAGCTGGCTTGTGGGACAGTCCCTATCCCTGTAAGTATATGAATATTATCATTAAGCACAATATCATTATATTTTCATATCCATTTTAATGCTCTATGAACAAGTAGAACTTTCTGATTAAGTATGCTGTTCTCATTCCTGTCTTTTTTAGATGCAGACAAAACTCGATTTTTTTACCGTTTTTATACTTAGTAGTCTCACAAATTATGAGACTTAGAGATTTGTTACTTTAAAATATGTTTACTTGTAAAATGACATTAGCAAAAATATCTCAAGATTGTTAGGAAAATAAAAAATAAAATGTTATATGAAATGTCTGGTAAGAACTAACACCTGACACAGACAGACACTTGGTGGTTTCTGTTATCCAAATTGCCTTTTGAAGATGACTTCTTGGGCAGCCTTTCAACATGTATTTACTTACACATATGATAGTCTATGTTTTGGTTAATGGGCCCTTTATACAAATTAACTGATGTATATTTTTCAGGCTAACTTCTAGAAACTGTATTGTTATTATAATTTATATATTATTATTACAAATTATGATTAGAGTTATTGTGAGATGACATGGCATGCTGGAGCACACCTTTAATCCCAGTATTCATGAGGCAGAGGCAGGTGGGTAAAGCTCTGTGAGTTCAAAGTTAGACAGGCCTACAATAGTGAGACCCTGTTTACTCCTGCAAGAAAAAAAAAGTATATACTATTATAAATTATTATTATTCATGGTCTCTCTCCAGTTACTTCTCTCTCCTTTTCCTCTTACTCTTTAGATAGAAACAAATCCTATCGTGCAAACCTGGATTTACATTATGAAAAACTTTTTTCTGGCTTTTTTGGAGACAGGGTTTCTTCGAATAGCCTCTAAGAACCAGGCTGTCCTTGAACTCACAGAGATCCACTGCCATCACCCGGCTAAAACTTTTTGTTTGTTTTAAGACAGGGTCGCATTATGTAACTCTGGATGCCTTAAACTCACTATATACAGACCAGGCAGGCCTTCAACTGTAAAAAATCTGCTTGCCTCTGTTTCAAGTACTGAGATTAAAAGTGTGCCACCATTCCTAGCTATATAAAGAGTATTTAAACTGCCTGTGGATAAGAAAATTAGTTAACTACCCAAGAAATAATCAGACACAATCTACATATATCTGGTAATTGGGCCAATAAACATTTTCAACTTTGGTTTGGAGTGACTAGAAAATGGATAAGACAGTAATCATAAAATACAGATAATTAACATGACATAGATCTAACTATTTCCCACAAGGGAGATTGGTTTTTTTTTGGGGGGGGGGGCACTAAATTTTACTGTAGAATCAGGCATTTGATACAATGATGTCATTATATTACTAATTATCAACAGTCATCAAATACTGTAAATTATTCAACTGAGGACCATGAAAACCAAAAATTTCATTAATTTATATTTCCTTCCTTTAATGGGAGATGTCATTCTGTAAATATGTTTCTCTTATTGGTTAATGAATAAAGCACTGTTGGCCAATAGGAAAGGAAGATAGGAGGGACGAGGAGACTAGGAGGAAAGAGGAAGGAGTCAGCATGTAGAGACTGGAGAGAGCAAAACACCAGTCCCACTCTCCCGTAAGATGAGACCACGTGAAAATACTTAGATTAATAGAAATGGGTTAATATTTAAAACAGAGCTAGCCGACAAGAAACTAGTAACTGGCCAACAGCATACTATCAAATACAGAGTGTGTGTGTGTTAGTTGGGACTGGCAGCGGGGGAAAAACTACTCCTAACATTCCTTTCTCTCTCTGACCCTTCTTCTCCCCAACTCTTCCTTTGTGGCGATGCAGATCAAAACTCGGACTTGTATAATATATACATCCCAGTCACTTATTTTCTTTAAAAAATAAAAAAAAATAAAATAAAATATGACCACATACACATATAATTCTACAAGTGGAGGCAGAGGAATCAGGAGCTCAAGGTCTTATATAGAGTCCCAGGCCAACCTGGGCCATGAGGCCCTGTCTTAAAAACATCCTGATGTTAGAATAGGGGCAACGACACTGGCCCAGCTGATACTTGCAACCCTAGATATACCCTGAGGATCCAAGTGTGATCCCTGGGACCTACAGAAAGGCAGAGGGAAAGCAGTGAGTCCACAAAGCTGTCCTCTGCCCTTCACATGTGCGCTGTGGCATGCACTCCTCCCCCAAGACTAACAGTACAATTTAAAAAGTAAAATACATGTTTAAGTGTGTAACTGTTAATGTCAACATGAAAACAATGCATATAGAAGAAACACAGCTCTGAAATACTGTTATAGCACATGCACTTTTACCACGTCATTGGCTTTTCTCAAAATTCTCAAATTTAAAGTATATATTAAGGTTAAATGTCTTTACTACAATAGTTATAAACTCTCATAGTACAAATAAAATTAGAACAATTATGATTTTTTAAAGTTATTAAAATAGAGTTTATCCAAAGTCCTGGGAACAAATAAAAATAGATAAATGAAATATAACAGCTGCTTCATTTGGGCCAAATGTCAACTTGCTCATCTTAGAGTTTTCAGCAGAATACATATAAGAGCAAGCTCTTGGAAGCAGTGGACACAGGAGCATATCAGTAAGCACTTGACTAATTTTAGCAAGTACTTATTCTCTTACATCTCTTTCTCTAAAACAACAGTTCTGCCTTGAAGGTTTCTATGTAAGGAGGTTTCGAGATCTCTTACCAGCTTGCTCAAAACACAGACACTTTTCTGAACAGTCTCTCTGGTGATGTCAGCTTGCCTTACTTTTAATGCCTATAATGAGCAAACAGTTATTTATTAGAAATACTTCATAGCTGCATTTACAAAACAGTTTCAATATGAATGTAATAATTAAGTAGAAAAAAATCTTGCATTCAGTTAAAGAACTTGACAGTGAATCTCAGATATGATAGTTGAACATATCTGCTAGCCTTGGACTGAATGTAAGAGTCTAGGCACTGGGTAGAATAGTGAAGAGACAATCCCCACTGTCTTGGAATTTATAGGCTGATGGAAACTGCTTTATGTACAAGTCATAAACCAGACCAACCATTCAATGAGAACCAACCCATAAAAACTAACTGGTTAAAAAAAAAACAAGATTTGCTACCTCCTAAAAATATACCTGTCAGATATCCAAAAACTGAGAGTCACAAGGAAGGAAAACAACCTACCAAGAAAATGGGAGCCTTCAAAAAGACTAATGTTGCTAGATTCATAGCTGCAAAAGTAGACTTCAAAACTAGTCAGGAGAGATAAAGAAGGCCACCATACCACAAATGTGTTTTTAGGAACTGCTGCTCAAATTTACTTTCAGATGTATTTCCTCTTTTCATTAGTAAGGATACCGAAAATGTTGATACTCTCTTTTTGTACCTTTCTATACATTTAACCACTTCCACTGAGTTTAATTTTTAATGTGTTTATGATGTCATCATTTCATTAGCTCTCATTATGTAAATTTAAATATGCTCATAAAAAATAATACATGACAAGAAACCCACACAAGGGGGCTCCGGGTAGCTGTCATGGCGGGGTTGTTGAAGAAGACCACCGGCCTGGTGGGATTGGTTGTGTGTAACACTCCACACGAGAGGCTAACAATATTATATACAAAGATTCTTGATATTATGAAGCAGTTCCCTAAACATGCAGCCTATAGAAAATACACCGAACAGATCACCAATGAGAGGCTGGATATGGTCAAGGCGGAACCAGATGTTAAAAAATTAGAAACCTTGCTTCAGGGTGGTGAAGTGGAAGAGGTGATTCTTCAGGCTGAAAATGAACTGAGTCTGGCAAGGAAAATGCTGCAGTGGAAGCCATAGGAGCCCCTGGTGGAGGAGCCTCCTGCCAACCAGTGGAAGTGGCCCATACGACCACAGTTCCTGATGGCCGATGAGAATTAAACGCGCAATTAAATGTTCTGTTATGCTAAAAAAAAAAAAAAAAAAAAAAAAAAAAAGAAACCCACACAAACAAATCATAACAAGTGCTGGTACCTATGTGGTGAAAGAGAAACCCTCACTCACTGCTAGTAGGGGTGCAAATTGTTATGGCCATAGAAATCTAAAAGTTTGGAGCTGGAACAATGGCTCAGCAGTTAGGAGTGCACATTGTTCTGACTAAGGGTCCCAGTTCTGTTCCAGAACCCATGTCAGGTGGCTCACAACAGCTCCATGGAACTGAACACCCTCTTCTGGCCTCTTCAGGTACTTGCATGATATACTACATTAAAAGGAAAAGTCTGATTCCCCAAATGACCAACATCTGAGCAAGAGTTGGAGGAGCTTTTTCCTGCTGTTGCATACCTTGGCTTCAATTTGTCGGTAGCAAGAGATACCATATATGGTGGCTCCGTTTCCATTTCTGGGTGGCAAGTGAAAAAACACAGTATCTAACAGACACACAGAAAAATGTAAATAGTGATGTTAATTACTCAATACTAAACAATCATATGTGAAGTTATAATGCAATCATTAACACACAAATGATGACACATCCAGGCAGCACCACAGACTTTTTCCCAATATTATAGTACATGTTTGTCACAAAACCTAAGAGATAATAGGTCAAATCAACTGTACAATTACAGAAAATATATGCAGGAACTGTTCCAGACTAAGGGAAAGTCAAGTCATAAAACTGATGGCAACATGTGAATCTTGATTGGGTTCAAGAAATTTTGAGAAAACTGGGGAGATCTGAACATAGACTGGATGTGAGATGACATCATGGAATTACTGTTAGAACTTTTAGCTGGATAATGTAACTGGATGCTAGGGAATGGTTATATTATATAGGAGGTACATGTACTAAGGTATTTAGAAATCAACTGTCTTTATTCCAAATGACTTTAGAATAAAAAGTAGACAAAACTGAACATACATGTAAACATAATGAAATAACTTATAATATATTCCCTATATCTAAATTTAACTCTTTCACCAGGTTGAAAGCATCAATAACAAAAGTCAGGAAGAAACATACTGTAATAAAACTTATTTTAAACTGCCTAGTAACATTTGCTTTATTTTATAAGGGAAATGTTAAATATTGCAATAGGAAAACAGGTAGTCAAATTATGCTGAATCTGGCTTAATCAAAGTAAGATAGTACTGCATTAAGTCTGGCAAAGCACTTTTCATTTGGGGGTAGAAGACTCAGTGAAAATGTCACCACAATCTTCTCTGAGAACACAGACATTCTCCTCATGCAAGCAAGTAACTTTTAAAGTACAGGGTTGCAACAATAGCTACAGAGTCAAAGAAACAATCTTAACTGTATTCAGAAGGACATGGGTGGCTTAGTAAGTCTGAAACTAGAGCTTCCCAGGCCATGAAGCCAGAGTGAAGTCTGAAGCATGATACAATTGTAGGCAGAAACCCATCAACAGCTGTCTCACTCTGGCTATACCTGAGTGCTCTGAATAGGAGGGGATCCAAGGGTCACTGACCACAGAAACAGACCCAGCACTCTAAAGCTTCTCTAGTGCATACCTCATCTCCAAACGGCACACATACACATTTCATAAATAATCATAATAGGCTCAAAGGCTTTCATTTACCAAAGTATTCAAGTCTGTTATGGAAAAAATTTCCAAAATCACACGCAGTAATTGGTCTACTGTTTAATGACACACCTTCCTGATAGTTATGTGCACCGTCTGGTAAGGCAAGGAAAGGCAAATACTTCCATTCTTCAGGTAGAGCATGACTGTCATGTCCATCTCCTGGAATCAGGGGTGGGTAAGAGAATTCAACCTACATTGGAAAAGAATGTTAGCAAAATGGTGATCAAAGGGAAGACTCTTAACTGACAAACAGTAATGCTCTTAAACTCTGAACAATGTCATTGGAGATTATCAGCAAACCAACACAGAGAGGGAAGGTTTATAGACTGTTCCCTGTTGACTTAAAGTGCCTAGTTGTAACTCAAAATGTTGTCTACTCATAAAAAATATGTTTAAATAGAACTTAGATATTTTACATACTCAGGAACTCTAAGTGAAATTAAGGTTATGCTAGGATGACTTGGGTTCAGTGTTTATAACAGTTTCTTTGTGAAAATGTGGTCCAGACTCAAATAGCCAATTTTGGGAACACAACCTATTCATAAATTGTAGACCGCATGCACCATGTTGGCAGTTTTAGAATTCTTATTTCCTGTTGGTAAAGTTGCTACTAATAGATAATTGTACTTGAAAACAGACGAATTTGCTAATTAATTTCAAAACAGTTAACCTCTTTTCTACATGGACACATACAGTTTTTTATTTTTTTAAAGACAGAGTTTCTGTGTAGCTTTGGTGGCTGTCCTGAAACTCCCTTTGTAGACCAGGCTGGCCTTGAACTCACAGAAATCAACTCGCCTCTGCCTCCCAAGTGCTGGGACTAAAGGTGTGCACAACCACCACATACAATCTTAATAGCTACATGGTATTAATTATTTATTTAGCAGTCTTCTTATTTCAGAATTTTAAAACAGCTTTATAAACTAGTTATGTTTTCCAAATGTGGCATAATAAAAATACTTCTGGTTTCTACAACAAAGACTCTAAAACACGTGAAACTTCCTGAGTCATAAATTACTTATGAGTCCCAATACACATGAGCTCATGTTTAAGCTATCTTTAGGATAAGGGCTGTCACCAGAAAGACAGTGCCTTGATTAGAAAGATAGAACTCTCAAGCTATGTTCTGACCATGGAACACAGCTCAGAGACTAAATCCAATCATCAAATGACCAATGTGTTAACCGATCATGTTTATGAAGTGAAACCTTTAAATCCTTTAACATGGGGTTCAGAGAGGTCCTGAGTTGCTAAGTACATGAACATGCAGGGAGAGAGTGGATGCTCCCTGTCTCTCCTTCATGTCCTCCTGTATGGTCCCCTCTCTTCCCCTGGCCACCCTTAAGTTTACGGTTGTGGGAACCTTTAATTTAGGGCTAAGTAGACAGAAGTCAGGTGGCCTGAGTCTTTGGGACCTGTAACTGGCATTTGTAATAAGGTAAGTCTTATGGAACAAAGCCTTTAAAATGTGGGGTTTGATGCTAACTCTGGATGATAAATAGGTAAGAATCTGAGATCAGACATGGACATTAAGCTCCCAGAGAATAAAGCACTCACACTCATTGTTATTCACTAGTAAGTAGTAGAAATTCATGGACCAAAATCTTAGTGTGAAGGAGAGATTAATGTTCCCCAAAGGTATAATGATAAACCAAGAAAACTTAAGTATTTCTCTTTAAATAACCAACTAATGTGGCCAGACCTACCTTGATTTTAGTTATTTTATACATTTATTCTGAAGTAATAACAGGAGGAAAGAAGACAACAATGGCTGACTTCTAAAAAGCAGAAACAATAATGATGCTCTAGATCACAAGGAATAGTTTTTTTGTTTGTTTTTAGTGTACAGGTGTTTTTCCTGAATGTATGTAAGCATACCATGTGGGTACCCTTTTCTAGTGATTACCAAAGAAACAAGAGGTGGGGTCCAAAGCTGAGGATGATGGAAGGATTCATCCTCAACTGCCTCCAAACCTGTTAATTCTTCACTAGCTACCTAACAGTTAACATCACTCTGCCACATATGAAAATGGTGAAGACTATGTTGAGGCCCAGTAAGGGAAAGCTGCTTTCTCTGGGTCAAAATAATAGAACCCAAATTATGCCTCTGGACCTAGGTGCTAGTAAAATGGCTCAGCTGGTAATGACACTTGTAGTCAATCCTGAAAACTTAGATTCAATCCCTGAAGTCCATGTAGTGGAGGAGAGAACTAACTCCCGGAGTTGTCTTCCAACCTCTGCCTGTGTGCCTCGTCTGTCAACCACCTGGCCAGAAGACTATTTCTTCTTTGGTTACAGTCCAAAACCTACTCAGACTCTGAGCCTTTTCAACATCTATGTAGACTACTCCACCCCATTTATAGTGTTTGCTGACTTCCATGGCTGAGCCCTTCCTGGTTTCTTGGACTCTAATTTGAAAAATTTCAGAACCTATGAGATGGCTCAAGTTAAAAGAATCAAGCCTAATCAAGCATAATCTCCAGGACCCCTACTGAGGATGGAGAGAACTGTTTCCAAGTTGTTTCCTTTATAAAATGCCTGAAAATAGACTATTTGACAAGAAATAATCTATCTATGTTTCTATAGTAAATTTGCAGGTTATAGATCCCAGACTTTTATTTGTTTCAGATTGCCTTTTTTTTTTTTTAACTATTATTTATTTTTGACTCAGAGTCTTACTACGTAGACCAGACTGGTTTTGAATTCAGAGATCTACTTCTGTCTGCCTCCCAACTGCTGGAATTAAAGTCATGTGCTACTATGCCCAGCTCTTTTTAAAAAGTCATGCATGGGAGCTGTGTTTATACAATTTCTACCCTCTCTCTCTCCCCTCCAACTCCTCCCATGTCCTTCCCTGTCCTCATGATTTTGTCATAGACACACACACTCAGAAATGTACATATAAGTGTAACCTGCTGTATCTATTTAGTGTTGCTGTTATGTAGGTGTTCAGGGCTGAGCACTTGGAATGGATAACCTATCAGGCACTCATCCCTGGAGAAGACTGATTCTCCCTCTCTAAGCATTCATTAAGTGTCTGCAGCTCTTCACAGTAAAAGGCAAGTGAAACCTCCATGCACATACATAATAAAATTAAAATGTAATTAAAAAAAAAAAACCAAGGTATGACTTTCTCTCTTCCTCTTCTCTATCTCCCTTCCCTGGCAGTAGCCAAATCTTATAGCTTGTTGATGTTTTCTTTCCTTTTCTTTTGGTCTTTTTGAGACAGGATTTCTCTGTTTAGCCCTGGATGTCCTAAACTGGCTCTATAGACCAGGCTGGCCTAGAACTCAGAGATTTGCCTGCCTCTGCTCTCTGAGTGCTAGGATTAAAGGTGTGCACCACCACCATTCTGCTCCTCCCTCCAAACTCTAAAGAAATGGTCCTTAAACTTCCTTCTGAGTCAGTTTCTAAATTGTTTTATTAAAAGACTAAAAGCCCACAAAAGGAAACCTCAATTTCCTTGGTAAAGTTCCAACTGTTTTGCAATTCTGTTTTTTTCTTCCTCCCCGGAAATAGTTCATAAGATAGAGTACTTGCTGCTCTTTCAAAGAGCTCAGGTTCCCAGCACTCACATCAAGCAGCTCACAAGTGCCTGTTACTCTAGCTCCAGGAAATCTAACTCTCTCTTCTGGCTTCCACAGGCACCTGCATGCATATGAACATATATACACTCAGGCACACACACATAAGCAAAAAATAAATAAGCAAATCTGGGGGGGGGGGAGAGAAATACAGAGTCATGAGGCCCGCCCACCTCTGAGGAGCTACTGGCAGTTATAGTTGCTGGGGAATGGGAGGGGATCATTTTCTTTAACAGTATATCCATTCATCTGCCCAAGTGTCAATGAATAACTTCCCCATTCATGCTTGTGCAGTGGGTCACACACACAAAAGTCACAAACAAAACATGAAGGAAGACTTACTGAGAAGAAAGGTTCAGTAGGAGTGGAGGGCATGGAAAAGAATAATGGAGGAGAAAAATGACCTAAAGACGTTACATACTTATGTGATGCTCTCAAAAGAATAAAGGGAAGAAAAGAAATACAGTTTGCTAAAAACATTCAAGAGGTAAAGTTAAGCTGGAGGTGGTGGCACATGCATTTAAGGCCAGCACTTGGAAGGCAGAGGCAGGAGGACCTCTGTGAGTTCAAAGCCAGCCTGGTCTACAGAGTGGATTTCAGAACAGCCAAAGCTACACAAGGAAACACTGTCTTGAAAAACCAAAACAGAATCTTAAGTTGCTAGCTATGTATCCAGATCAGGAACTCTACAGAAAAGAGCTCAAAAGGAAAAATTTAGGGTGGTCAGATGGCCTAGTGGGTAAAGGTGCCTGCTGCCCAGAGACCTGAATTCAATCTCTGGACCCTGTGTAAATGTTGAGAGGATGGACACCACAAAATTGTCTCCTCACTTCCACACATGGGTCATGCGCCCATTCCATGAATACTGTACACACAACAAATAAAGTATTTCAGAGTATTTGTGTACACTGTAAAGATGTGTCTCTGCCTAAGGTGCTTTCTGATTGGTATGATAAAGAGTTGAATGCCAACAGCTAGCCAGAAGGCATGGGGGGGGGGGCTTCTGGGCAGAGAGAGGACTCTGGGAAAGAAGGTGGAGTCACAGTCAGAGTTGGAGGAAGCAGGATGGGCAGCTCAGAGATGAGGGAAAACCATGTAGCAGAGCGTAGACTAATATAAACGCACCTAGGACAAGCCCAAGCTAAGGCCAAGCTTCCACAATAAATAATAAATCTCTGTATTGTTATTTGTTAGCTGGCAGCCCAAAGACAAATCAACTACAATAAAGCAATTTTAAAGTTTGGAAAATAACTGCTCTCTACTGAGTATCTAAAAATGTAAAACTATGAACAAAATCAGAGCTTGCCTGATACACACTTGATTATCTAACAAAAAATTATGGCAATCTGATTTGCAGGCTGGCTCAGCCTTGGTAAGTATGGCTCTCATAGCTCTCACTCCTCAGAGAAGCCTTTCTTACTTTTTGTTTTTTGATTGTTTACAGAAATCCACAACTGGTAAGAATGCAAAGAACTGACCATGAGGTGCCCATCCCCAGTTGCTATTATCTACCACACAATTCCTACACCCAACGCTCAGGGAACATGGTAGAAGAGGGGTGGAGACATTCTAAAAGCCAGAGGAGGCTGGGAGTTGGTGGCAAATGCCTTCAATCCCAGCACTCCAGACACAGAGGCAGGTGGATCTCTGAGTTCGAGGCCAGCCTGATCTACAGAGTGAGTTCCAGGGCAGCCAGGGCTGTTATAGAGAAACCAGGTCTCCAAAAGCAAAACAAAGCAGAAGTCAGAGGACAAGGGTATCTGCTGTGAAACACTATCTTCTACATGTAACAGGGAAGCTGCACACATGAAATCTCAATAATATGGTTGCCTAAACGAGACCTGCAAAATGACAACAGTAGATATGCCAAGGCAGACAGGGGTGGGGTGGGGATATGTGTATCTCACAAGGCCCCGCCCCTAGATGAAAAACTAAGGGCAATGAAGGAGCTGAGAGATGGAGACCAGTCTTTTCCAGGGATAAGTCCCTGATTATCTACTCAAAGTGGTCAACCCTAAACACATATACACACCAGCAACATCAAATGAACTCAGCAGGTTAAAGGTGTGTGTGTGTAAACCCCAGCTCTCATGGACACAGGCTTGCACATGTGTGACAGTAACAAAGATGAAACATAAATTTTAGGAGGAGGGACACAAGAGGAATTGGAAAAGGTGTAGAATTATATAAATAATTATTCATGTAAGATATGAAACAAAGAGCAGGGTATACTGATAAATATTTTTGTTTGTTTTGTTTTAAGATAGGATCTCTTTACAATGTAGCCTCTGTTATCCTGGAACTCACTCTGTAGACCAGGCTGGCCTTGAACTCACCGAGATCTACCCACAACCAAAAATCTTGTGTTCGCTAGGCAAACACTCTACCACTGAGGTACATTCTCCCAGCCCAGGATTAGGTTCTTCATGCTTTGTTTCTCCAATATCCCGGGGTAGGTGTAATTTTACAAAGGTGAATAATAAATCAAGCTACTTTGGCATCAATTGGAGAAAAACTCAACCAGGATTTTTTGTTTGTTTCATTGCAATTATTATCTGGCATAAATTATCTGGCAAAAGAAACAGAGAAGGGCAAATTAGGAAACTATTTGTATTTGCTGGTCTTGGAGTGGTGTTATACTGGCCACCTGACTTCTGCACAGAACTCACTTTACAAAAGCAGTCACTTTTACCTGTGTGCTGAAACCAAAACCCAAAGGAAAGGCATGCAGGGGGTTACTGCATCTTTCCTTTTCTGTTCTTTAATCTTTATGCAGCACTACATTCGGTTTCCTTTACAGAAATATGTATGACCAATAAAGCCAGTAAGACAGGCAAAAAGCATAATAAAAATCTAGATTTTCAAATGACAGCAAGAATTAGGAGACTCCATCCTATCCCCTATCCATACCAATGTTTTCTTTCTTTTCAGAGCTCCATTCAGTGTAGTTCTGAAGCAAGCTTCCACATGGTCCTTTACCCAGAAAATCCACATTGCCACATACATGAACACACGTGGCACAGGAAGCAAAGGTTCCACTTCTCACTCCAGGGCTGTTTTGTTGTTTGGTTTGTTTTCTGTTTGTTTGTTTTTCAAGACAGAGTTTCTCTATGTAATGGTTCTGGCTATGCTGGAACTCAATTTGTACACCAGGCTGGCCTCAAACTTATGGAGAGCCACCTGTCCAGGGAGAGCTGTTTTTTAGTAAGATCTCAGCATTTTTTTTTTCAGTAAGATCTTTGTCAAGTTTTGTCATTTTACTCACATCTTACAAAGCAACTAGTTAGTTCAACAGCTGTAGGTGTGAAGTACTAAATAATCGTAGTATCACACACACAGTAATGCTACTCTCTTTAGTGTCATTCTATCTTTTTAATCTGAGGATAAAGGAATATAATATCTTAAAGTTAATAGTCTCTTTTTTGATACGGGGTCCAAGTACTCTGTCCAACTTAAGATAATCCTCCTACCTCAGCCTCCCAGTTGCTGGGATGGTGCCATGTGCCACACCTGGCTTGAAGTTAACAGCACACACACACACACACACACACACACACACACACACACACACACACACACACACTCCTCTTCACTCCCTTCACTAAGGAATTGAACTTTTGTCAGTATTTTAATGTTACATTCTCTGCGAAAGGAAAGGAACCAAATACGTCGTTATCTATTGGTAGTAATCGTTTTTCTCAATATCTTGAGCATTCAATCTACATCCGCTAGCATATTATGACATCATTGCCTTCCAGCGTTTGTTGGGACTCAACAACCCTGCTCTATTTTGCTCCTCTGCCTTCAACACAAAAGCAAACGCTCTTTTCACACGGTGTGTTGAAGAGCCAGCAAACAAGCTGCCTAATACACGTCCGCTTGCACTGACTGCTTGGTAAATTACAGTTTTATGTACTGTAACTGGTTTGGAGTGTCACCCTAAGCAAAAGCAAAGCTCTGGACAGGAGCAAATCTTAAAAGGCACAAGAGAAGGGGGCGGGGCCGATCGCCAACCCTAAACTACAGATTCCCAGGCTGGCAGGAGATAAACAAAGGAAGCCGATTCTGCCGGGCGGCGCCTGCGAGCGCGTCAGCCTCCTAGAGCATTCGTGTGGGCAGCCGCAGCTCACCACCTCCGGGCGTCCAAACGCCGAGTCTGTCTTCAAGACTTCCTTTAAGGGCAAACACCCGGCCGGTCGGTGAAGACTGACAGATAACCGGAGGCGCCACCGACCTTCTTCCTCTAAGCCCGAACCCCCGCTGCTCGGCATGCAATTCTCAGAGGGACTCGGGGCGCGCAAGGCCGCGGGCGCCCAGGAGGCGCGGGCCGGTCCTCACCTGGCAGCCCTTCTTGTGGTGGAAGCCGACCACCACGATGTGCAGGACGGGCCCGCAGGGGGCGCCGTCCCCCTCGCGCCCTGCCTTCTCCATGGGCGTCCGCCGCAGGCCCGCACCGCGACTCCAACCGCCGAGGTCGGGCCCCACGGCCCAGAGCGGCTGCCTTCAGATGTCAGCCGGAGAGACACATGTGCGCCGCGCCATGGGCTCGAGGGCCGCCGAACAGCTCCCTCACCTCGGCGAAGCCCCACAGGGCCTCCACGGTTCTGCTTCATCCGCTTCCGCAGCTTCCGGGCTGTCACCTGACGCTACAGCCGCCTCCGGAGCCGTGGGGCGGGGACCCGGACGCCTCAGTCTGGGCGGGGTCTGAGGCGGCATGGGCGGAGCCCAGATAGGGGGCGGGACCAGAGGGAAAGGGGAGGGGCGTGGCTGGAAAGCAGAAGGGGCGGGGCCTCCCGGGGGAGGCGTGTTCTATAGAACCTGCAGGGCGGGGCGGGAAGGATGCAGACCCTCAGGGACCCTTGCAGAAGGGGTTGAGAATGGTTGCTGATTACACCTGCTCCTTTCTTCCTACGTTCTTTGTCAGATCACTTCTAAAATTCTTGAAATCTCCTTCCAACTCCCCCAGCTTCTTTTTAAACGTGTTTTCTCTTCACTCTTTAAATCTTTTGTAGAATCTCTCAGCCTTGAGTTTTAAATACCCAACAAGGAGTCATATTTATGAGGTTCGGTATCTCGTGCGTTCAACGTCTAAATTAAGTTGGTTGCTTAGTCAAATTTTTCTTTGGTTTCGTTCTAGAGGTTATTTTTTTTTCCCGTTTAATTTTTTTGTGCAGCCCCATGTAGTGGCTGCATGTGTGTAATGCCAGAACTTGAGGAGCTGAGGTAGGATTGCAAGTTTCAAGCCAGCTTGGGCTAAATAGTGTTAGAAATGTGCTCACAAGGTAAAAGATAACGATTCCAATTATAGTGGCCCAGCAAAAATTTGTAACTTCACATCAGGCTGGGCTTGGTGGCGCATGCCTTTAATCCCGGCACTCCAGAGGCAGAGGCAGGGAGATTTCTGAGTTTGAGGCCAGTGGGGTCGATAGAGCACAGAGCGAGTTCTAGGACAGCCAGGGTTACACAGAGAAACCCTGTCTTATGAAACAACAACAAAAATAATTAATAACAACAATTTCGGACAAGGAGAGTCCTAAGTCCGAAAATCATACAATCAAGCGCTCCTGCTCAGAGCAGCCTCAATCTTCTATCCCTAAGGCTAGGTTTTAGTGGTATAGGTGGGTGGTGGAGGCTGGAGGCTTAGCTTTTCCTCCTTAGCTGAGTGAGGTTCGATTTCACATCTACTCCTGATCAACTAATTTAGAAAGAGGCCAGAAAAGGAGAACAAAGGGCAGAGTGCAAAGTAAGCAGTGTTTAAACCGACCTGGGGCCTGGGGAGGAGACAAAGAACACACATGATTATTACCCCTGTTTGCAAGAAAAGACAAATTTTTCCCAACGGAGAGTTTAAGGTCAGTCTAGGTAAATAAGAATCCTCCTCAGACCTGCAAAAATAAATACATAAAATATATGTAAGAGTTTGGAAGCAATTTAAACCTTGAATCATAACATCTTTGACAACAAAGATTTACATTCTACCTATGAAATGATTATTTCAGTACATATATACATACATAAAAAACCTGGGTATATATCACGGTACTAGAATATTCTAGTAATATATATATATATATATATATCTCAATGTACAATTTTCATTGCATATTTTTGGGTTTATTATAACTAGCACAAAATAGGTCTGTTGTTCCAAGGGTTTCAAATCCTTTGCTGAGTGAGCTACAATTTCAAAACGCAAATTGTTTAGATTCTACTAAAAAAAACTCCACATTTTTCAATATATTACTATCCATATCCTTTTTATATTATAAACTTCTTGATAGTGCTCATGGAAATACTATTTCCAGTATACAGAGTACATTAACATTTCTTAAATGTTACCCTTTTATGTTAAGTACTTGATTTTTACTATTTTCTTTGTTTTTAAAAAAAAGCAATCTGTTTTTATTTTATATATATTGGTGTTTTGCCTACATGTATGTCTGTGTGAGGGTATAGGTTTGGAGTTACAGACAGTTGTGAGCTGGCATGTGGGTCCTCTGGAAGAGTTGTTAACCATCTCTCCAGCCCCCAACTTTTACTATTTTCTTGATTTAAACTGTGTTAATACTTTCCACAATTGGAATAGCTAAAATTAAGTTTAATTTCACACCTTTGTTTAAATGTGTGGCTAGATTTCTGTCTTCAGTGAATATCAATATTTAACTCACTGTTCAGGAGACATAATTATGCCTTTAGAAATATGTGCCGCTTTGTATCCTAGAGAGGTCATGTGAGATTAAATCATGTATTTATAACCATTATGTTTAAATGTTTTAAGATATCATTTAAAGGCATGCTGTATTTAGTTACTATCTGACCAAATGCTTACCAGGAAGTGACTTAAAGGGGAAAGGATTTGTTTCAGCTCAGGGTTTGAGAAGATACCAAAGAAGCAAGAGACAGAAGACTTCAAGGTCTTCAAACTAAGCTGTTTTTACATGAACCAGTTCATGTGACTAAGCTACTCAGGTTGGCCTTGAGCTTGCTTTATATCTCAGGAGGTCTCAAAACAAAAGAAAACACAAAAACAAAACAGAAAACACACGCATGCGCGCGCGCACACACACACACACACACACACACACACACACACCACACCACCACCACCACCACCACCAAAAAAAAAAAAAAACCAGGTTAGGAGGGTATAGCTTAGTGGTAGAGGACTTTCCCAGTGTGTGTGAGTCCCTAGTTTAATCCCCATCCTGGCAAAAAAGAAAATTGCTAGTGTTCGTTTTGTTCATATCATTGGAGACTTCAAGGATTGACTGTATTGTTACCAGCACTTTCCCTGCCAGCCTGGTCCCACAGCCCCACCAGTCCCAAAATAACATACAGAGTCTCTATTAGTTACAAAGCTGGTGGCCAATGGTTAGCTCTGGCTTAATTATTAACCAATAATTACTAATATAAGTATTTCTACTTGGTCTTACCTTACTAAGAATGCCAGACTCACGTGTTCTCTCCTTCTGAGATCACATTGTGACTCTGTCCTACGTTTCCCAGAATCCTCCACCTCTCCTACTCCCACCTATCTTGCTTCCCTGTTGGCCAACAGTACTTTATTCATTAACCAAAAAGAGAAACATATTTACAGAATGACATCTCCCATCACTGTATTATTCTTTTTCTGATGAAAGTAATACAGGAATAAAGAAAGAAAAAAATCCAGAAAAGAAAGAGGCTTCATAAGTGAATTGGGCCTTACTCTGTATTTAGAACCTTACAGAGATTAATGAGTGTGCCTTAATTCAAAGAACATTGGTTAGATCAAATCTAGGAATGTGTTGGCTTTAGTGAACCAAGCAAGATGAACTGTTGCCTTCATGTGGTTTATGGTTATAAAACAACCTTCATTTTACATTTATTTTGTGTGGGGGAATGCATAGGTTAGAGTGTTGAGGACAGCTTTTGGGAGCTGGTTCACTTCTACCCAGTGAGCTCCAGAGGTTGAACCTGGGTTAACTAGCTTAGCAAAGTGCACCTTTACCCATTGAGCCATCTCACCAGCCTCCAAAGAACAAAGTAGCAAGCAATAATGCTCTCTGTATGTAGTCCCTACCCTAAACGAATAATCATGTTAGTATTAGGAAACAAAGATCAATGAGTAACAATATATCAAATATAACGCAGTTTGTTATGCATTATATCTTGTCCTAACCAATTTTATAGGTTATTTAATTTAATCATTAAAATAATCTTTTCAGTGGGCGAGAGAAATAGTCCCATGGTTAATGGCATTGACACCTCTTCCAGAAGGCCTGAATTTGATTCCCAACATCCATATGCTGATTCACAACTGACTGTAACTTAAGTCCCAGGGGATCTGATGCCTTCTCTGGCCTCCATGGACACCAGGCACACGTGTGACACACAGACATTGATGTGGTTTGAATAAGAATGGATCACATAGGCTCATATATTGGATGTTTAGTTACCAGGGAGTAAAACTGTTTAAAAGGATTACAAGGAATAGGAGGTATGATTTTATTGCAGTAGGTGTGGCCTTGGAGGATGTATGTCACTCACTGGGCATGGGCTTTGAGGTTTCCAAAAGCCATGCCAGGCCCAATTTCTTTCTTTCTTTCCTTCTTCCTTTCTTTCTTTCTTTCTTTCTTTCTTTCTTTCTTTCTTTCTTCCTCTTTCTTCCTCATGAAACTCAGAATGGGAAATCATCTCTGAGAAAGGTATTGAGACATTAGCAATATCTTTACTAGGACATTGAGGAATATCATATAGTTAAATGAGAAAAATCGCTCAAGATTGGGGTTGTTAAGGAAATACATTTCAGATGACAAGTGTTGCATATTAAATGGAAGAGAAATGTGGTTTAAAGACAAGATCAATAAGAGGAGCTTGGAAGTGACACGGACCAACTGCACACAATGTCCCCTTCACTTGGAACTACCTTTGTCTGTTTATCCACACTCTAATCACCATGCAGGACTAGACTCTTGTCAGTTCCTCTGTGAAGCTTTTCAAGCTGATACGTGTGACCATGGGACAGTTACTTAATTTCTTTCAGCACAAGGAACTTAATCATGATTCTTGCCTTAAAGATGACAGTAAAGAGTGTATTTCTGCAGTTGGGAGGCAGAGGCCAGTGGATCTTTGTGAGTTCAAGGCCAGTCTGGTCTACAAAGTGAGTTCCAGGACAGCCAGGGCTGTTACATAGAGAAAGCCTGTCTTAAAAAAAAAAAAAAAAAAAACTAAAAGAATAAAAAAGTGTATTTGTAATTGCCCTGGCACCTAGTAGATACACAAGACTTATGGAATGGGGGTTTCAGGGAAAAGCCACCACTAATTGAAATTGAGAATGGAGTAGAGTTTTCCAGAATCCCCAGAGGCATTGCTTTATGTGGTAAATTTCATAGTGCTACATACATACAACTTATTATTTGTCCTTTTTCCCACTCACACACATAGAACACTTTAGTGAACATTGCTTTAACCAGCAAGCTGCTAATCAAACAGTATTCGGCAGACTTTTGTTCAATGAAGGAATAAAGGGTGCTTACCAAACCCTGTAAAAATGAATGTTGTTCATTATGCTCTCCCTTATTTTGATTGTTTAGCTTTAAGCCCCTCAGATACAAAAGAGACAAACGAAGGTAAACAATTTATGTGCTTCTTCTTCTTTTTCTTCTTTTTTCTCCTCCTCCTTCTAAGTAGGACCAACTCAGGGCCTAATGAATGCTAGGAAAGCACTCTAGTGCTAAGGTAGGTGGTCAAGCTCATTATTTTTTATTTCCTATTTTGTGTCAGGTCTTGAAAGATTTTAGTTTGCAGAGCAAGGATGTAGGAAAGGGGCAGGAGAATGATTCTTGCAAGCAGAATACAGAAAATCATAAAGAACAGACATTGACATGGGAGGAAAAGACAGAAATTATGAGAACAAGAAAGTTACTATGGTGATGGGGCTAGTGGTCATGCTAGGCTGATTCTGTTAAATAGGGCTAGTACCTGAATCATCAATCTCTTGTAAAATAACTGAAGTCTCTCAGGTCATGGCCCACATCAAGGAAATGGGCCCCAACCCTGGAACAGATGGTTCCAGATGAATGGTCCTGGCCGGGTCATACTTGACCAACGGACAGTCTGGGGTCTTTCCCTGTCATCCTGTTATTTTTCCTTTAAAGAAGAATAGGTCACACCTGGGTGATCTCTCAAACATGAAATTATACTTTGTACTTTGTAATTATACTTTGTAATCAATCACCTTATGCCCTATGCATGTATGCCGCTCTGCTCTCTTTAAAAAGGGCCTAAACCCTCTGAGGGGTGTGCAGCTTTCCCCGAGATTGCTGTCACCCGAGTGCACTCGCTCAATAAACACCTCTTGCTTGTTGCATCTCCTGGTTTTGGTGTTTATGTCGTGGGGCTTTCCCATCGCCCATCAGGACCCCAGAATTAGGGTCCAACAGTCTTACCAATTTGTCCATGCTGGGCAACTGTGGCCTCCTTCTCTCTCTTAAGCGTTGGGATTGCTGGCCACTCCACATAGCAGGTTTTTGTTTTTTAAATCTTTTTCCAAAACAAAATTGTGATAGCATGCTTTCCAAATGTGATGACATCAACATACAGAGTGACATCTAGCGGTTGCCTATTAATAAACAACTGTTAGTAACTTTAAAAGCCTGCAATAAACTAGACTTCTAGAAAGGACAAGAAGGAATTAATAAAGTACTAAAAATTAAAAAAAAAATCTTGTGAATACTTGGTATAGAATTTTTTTTTTAATGCTTCGTATGGGTGTTCAGTCCTCTAGGATTAAAAACCAGATTCCTTAAGAAAATGAGTAGTTACTGAGAACGCAGAACGAGTTGGTGATGGGAAATCTTAATTGATTTTTATAGCTCTGAAGAACGATTCCAGCTTGAGATGCAGCCTTCTAGAGGAAAACTAGCCAACTCAGAGATCTCGTATGGTGTGGTCTTCAGGCATGGAGGAGGCCCTCAAACAATTTCTCAAATTTAGCAGAACTCTGGGGCACGGGATGGTGGTAGTCTATCGAATCCGTCGGTGATCCATTTGGATTCACCGATCGCCACATCGGCCCGCGACTAGTTTGGCCTGAGCCAGCTGTGGAAAAGGGCGGAAGCGCGCTCTTTTAAAGTCTGCGCCGGTGGCCTTATGCCACTTCCGGCGTGGCCATGGCGGCAAACGCGACCACGAACCCGTCTCAGCTCCTGCCACTAGGTAAAAGTCTGGCCCGGGGAGCGGGCGGGTTGCCGCGGGTCCGCGCCGGCGGCCGAGGCTTGCTCCTCCGGCCCGGCCTTGCCGTCCCGCCCGGGCGTTTTACCCGTCGGTGGCCGGCGAGGGTCCCACCTAAGGAAGGGCGCCCTCGGCCTCTGTGAGCTCGCCAGTTAAGGTGCCATGCACGGGTAGCCGTCCCAGCTCGCAGTTTGGTCTGTTCGGTCCACAGACCTGGCAGAGTCTATGCTGTATTTGGTTGTGTGAGGAGGGCGCCACGGTCAGCAGTGAATCTTAAAAAGAAATCTGGAGATGAGCCCCGTTATTCATTAATTCAACAATGGGTACTGCTGAATAATGAATTCAAATTACAGCCGTTGCTTTCAGACAGCACACTGAAAAAACACCGTGCCGAGCAGTTCTAGGTAGGCTACAGAGACGCTCAGGTTGGTCTGTCTCCAGGCACAGAGGTAAAGGCGAGGGAGACAGTGACAGGAAGCTGGCGTCGATAATCTTGCATCTCCTCTGTAATGTTTTGGCGCTGGTGAAGTTAGTGAATGTGGCTATGATGGAAAGATTTTGCAGCGGCCACTTCAGGATGTGTTAGATACTGTTCACCCAAAGAAACACTGACGAGGAAAAACTATCACGGTTTCCACCTTTATTTAGATTAACTAGGTAATCTAAATAAAATAGCAGTCATGTTAATTGCAGCAAAAAAGAAGGTAAGTGAAGGCCAAGGCAAACGTTTGTGCTAATGGTTGAACGGAGATTTGTATAAGATGTAGTTATTTAGTGACTGGTTTTTGTTTATCTTTAGTGATACGGAAATAATAAAGTAAGCACTCAAATGGTTGTTGAACTAGTAAGTGGGTAAAACAGTCTTTTTCCTTCCATAGAGCTTGTGGACAAGTGCATAGGATCAAGAATTCACATTGTGATGAAGAGTGATAAAGAAATTGTTGGTACACTTCTAGGATTTGATGACTTTGTCAGTATCCTTTTAAAAAGTGGTAATCGGATAGGTTTTTTAAAAAGAGGTATTAATATAAGAGCTGTAGACAGATGACATATTTCTATTACATTAAAAAACAATTTATTTCCCAGGAACCTGGTAACATTTTAAGAGGTGTGCTTGCAGAGAGCAGATAGGGTTCTGGCCAACAACAAACCTTTTGAATTTGCACCATTGTGATGAACATATTTGCAACCAGTCAAAAACTGAAACCAGAATAAATTCAACCTTGTTTTCTTAACAACACATCTCAGATATGGTGTTGGAAGATGTCACAGAGTTGTGAGTAGTATTAAAATCAACCAATTGGGGGAGTTGGGGAGGAAATACCTTCTTGAATTAAGGGCCGGTGCCTTAGTTACTTTTCTGTTACTGCGAAGCCAAGGCAGTTTGTAGGAGAAAGTGTTGAGTTTCAGAGGGCCACCACCATTTTCATGGCGAGGAGTGTGGTAGCAGGCAGGTGTGGGACTGAGAGAGCCTACCGGGTATAATTTATTTCTTTGAACCTCAGAGCCCACCCCAGTGACGCACCTCCGACAAGGCCACGCCTCCTAACCATTCCCAAACAGTTCTACCAACTGAGGACCAAGTTTTTCAAACATGTGAGCCCGTGGAGGCTGTTTTCATTTAAACTGCCATAGCAGGATTCGTATGGTTGATTAAAAAGTATTACCGGTTGGAATTATTTAATACTAAAACTTTATTTACTGGTGTTTGTGAAGTTGGGCCGGAGGATTATTATCTTAATGTTATTATTCCTGAATTTCTAAGAAATTAGTGTGAACAAACTTTATAGTGAGCTATATTTACATGACTGTTATCCAGTGGCAGACTGTATTTATGAAAATTATTGTAATTGTATGAGTCATATTCATCCATATGTAAGGATAACAGGATTATTGTATTTCTATGAGTTCATATGTAAGGTAACAGTTTTGGTGCTAGGGACTGAACTCAGGGCCTTTTACTCTGCTAGCCACCAAGCTATTCTCCTTACCCCAGGAATGATTTTTAGAAAGGAAAAGTGTTTCCACAACATTGCCTTTGAATACTTACTTATCCTGACTCCATTTTTTTTTAAATCTATTTAGTGAAATTACACCAGAAGGAAGAAGGATTACAAAATTAGATCAGATTTTACTAAATGGAAATAATATAACGATGGTAAGACATTAAAGCTGTTTTATTTTGAATGTAATTAGTTCTATGGGGCAGGGATTACAGAACTGACTAAATTACTGCTTAGCTCAGCGTTCATGGCCTAGACATGCTAAGGATGGGAAGGGAGGCTTCAGTCATCAGTGCCCCAGCACAGCTATTGAAAGAGCTCTGGGCCTTAAGATTCATTTACTGAGTAATCTTTATTACCTTTAATATCTTTAGTTCATCAGGAATCATTGTAGAAACTCTTAAACATCAATTAGTGATGTGGGGATTACTAACAGATGTTGATGACCCGGAAAAATAGGGAATTGAAGGATGGGAGAGAGAGGTGACTTTGGTCCATGAGGAGCATATGGGGGGTTTTAGGTGGAATGATAGTGTTATTAATAAACTCTTTTTCTCTAATGCAGCTGGTTCCTGGAGGAGAAGGGCCTGAAGTATGAATGGATTGCCTTGACTTATGCTAGATTTTGGCTTTTTAAAAAAACCTTTGATGTTTAGATTCTATAAACTGAAGTTTCCGTTAAAAGGAAATACTTTGGAGATATACACCCATTTTTTCTAAGCTAATCATGGTTATTTTGGGAAAGGAAGAGTTTTGTTTTGTTTTGTTTTTTTAAAGACATAAAATAAACATGTTTTTGGTTAAAGGTGATTTTATTTATTATATTGAAAGGTCTAGTGGAACAAATATACTTATTTTGATACTTGGTTTCACATTGATTTCTGTTTATTTTCTTCCTCATTTATTTGTTTTGGGAGTGGGATCAAGCCCTTTTATTCAGAGGCTTGAGGGTGGAAGAGGTCTGTCTCAGCCAATGTCCGCCAATGGTTGACCTTCCTGGCCTCTGGTTGACCTTCCTGGCCTCTTTGCTAAAAGTGAACTTAATTCTTGTTTTTTAAAAAAGATTTTATTTATTTTGTATATTCTATGTGTATGAATAACTCACTTTCATGTAGGTCTGCTTCCTGTGTAGTGTCTGCAGAGGCCAGAAGAGGGTACTGGACCCCCTGGTATTAGACTTATGGTGGGTTGTTACCTGCCATGTGGGTCTGAGATTGAACCTGGGTTCTCTGCAACAGGAACAAGTGCTCTTAACCACTGAACTGTCATCCCTGCTCCTGAACTTTATCCTGAAACAGCATCTATTTCAAAACAAACCGAGCTTTGATTTTGAATATATCATTTAAAAACCTTAATGATCCCTTAAGAAAATTGAGTTCAAACTCTGATACTTTGTAATGAAGTGTTCCACATTGAATTCAGCTTTTCCTAATTCCTATTGAAAACATAAAATATGTGTGCAGTATGTACATCGTAGAAGCGCAGGTAAGCAAAGTAGCAATCACATTTTATATTTTCCTAGACTTGAAGACATTTTTTATTTTTTAATGTGTGGGAGTGTTTTGCCCGCATGTATGTTTGTGTACCACATACCAGCTTTGCATCCGTGAAAACCAGAAGATGGTGTTGGGTCCCCTGGAACTGGAGTTACAAGGGATTGTGAGCCTTACGTGGATGCTGGGAATGAACTGGGGTCATTTTCAAGAACAGCAAGTGTCTTAACTGCTGAGCTATCTTTCCAGCTTCATCTTTTCCTATACTAATGCCCCTCCAAAAAACAAAAGTTTTTGAGGGTGTGAATATGTGGTGGGTTGAATATGTGGTGGGTGTGAATATGTGGGTGTGCGGTGCACGTATGGAGGGCAGGGGACAACTTGCAGGAATCGTTTTCTCCCCTCTATCATATGAGTCCTGCATATTGAACTTAGGTCACCGGGCTGAGTAGCAAGCCTTTGCCCATTGAGCCTTCACCCCTGTCAAAGAGTTTTTGAGTGTGTTCATTTTAACAGAACTTGCCTATCCTAAATGCTTAGGTTCCATATAAGTACATTAAAAAAAAAAAAAAGAAAAAAAGACTAAATGGTGAGTATTTGTCAAATATTTCAACGGTAATGTCTATAAAATTTTATTTAATGTTTTTACAATTAATTTAGCCTGTGCTTATTAGCCACAGTAATTTTAGCTAAATCTTTATATATAATTTATGTTTTTCCTAGAGTAAGTTCATAGAGTACATGTTGTCATATTGCCAATAGAAAATTTGTATCACACTGCTTTTCCAGTTTTTCAATACCCTTTACACCCTTATCAACATATGACTGATCTATTGCTTCACTATGACAGGCAAAACCTAATTTAAAAACTTAAAAAAAAAAAAAAAACCCAAAACTTACTTTGAATCTTCTTGTATTTAATGAATTATTTGAGGCTTTCTCACCCCAACACTCTTTGGACACAGGGTCTTGCATACCTTCTAGGCTGTCCTTGAACTTGTGATCCTGCCTCAGTATCCCCAGTACTAGGATACAGGCATGTTCTGCCACACCAAATATGTATAAAGCTTTTACCTATTCGTCAAAAACTTTTGTGAGGTTATTTATATTAGTTGCTCTTACCATTGCTGCAACAAATACCAGACGAGAGCAGCTTAAGGAAAGGAGGGTTTGTGTTGCCTTATAGTGTAAGAAAGTCATGAGGAGGCAGCTGGTCATACTGTATTCACAGTCAGGAAGCAGAGAGCAGTGAATGCTGCTACCCAGCTCCCTTTTCTCTTTTATTTAGTCTAGGAACTCAGTCCCTGGGATGATTTTCCCACCTCAATTTCACCTATAAAACCCCTTCCAGACATGCCCAGAGGTTTGTCTTTATGGTGGTTCTAACTCCCATCAGATTGAAAATTAACATCCCCAAGAATTTTTGATATAATGTATTTTTATATAATTATACTGACTTAGGTCTTATTTTCATCTGATCCAAATTGATCAGAAAGTCCCTTTGCTGTGGGGGGAATACATACACACATGCGCGCACACACATACACACACACTCTCTGTTAGGGTCTTACTTTTTTCAGTGTTTATTTAAATCTTGAACTTATCAGTTTTAGTGCTTCTGCTTATGAAAATGGTTTTTAAATTTCTAGAACAAGTATTCATTTGTTTGAATTACATGTTATAAATATTACTATATTGCATAATTTCAGTTTGACTATGGTTTGCTTCCTTGCTGACTTTTCCTTTTTGGACTGGCTTTCCCCATCTTTTTATTTTCAGTACTAGAGAAATGTGTCATTGCCAACTCCGTTTTTTTTTTTTTTTCTCCTATGACTGAGTGAATACCGTGCACAAAGCACATATTTTTATATATATTATGCTGTATGTTTTATAGGAGGAGGCATAGTTGCCCATGTGGCTACATGCATGAGTCTACTTGCTTACTAGTTTTTCTAGTCTGTTTTTTTTCTCAGAGCTGAGAATCAAATCCATTGTCTTGTACATTCATGGAAAGCACTCTTCACTGAGCTGTATACTCATCTCTCCTAATCTTTTTAACAGTAATAAAAATGATGTAATTCCTCTCTGTTTACACTTCTGAGTTCTCAAACTTGGCAGGATTTCCAACCATGAAATGAGTAGAAAACCTCCTTTATTTACTGTCCATCTAGCTATAACAAGGTCTCTAGACACTGCCACATATCCTGAGTAAACAGTCACTCAGGATTATTGACAGAGAACCTTCTAAATGAGTGGATACTATTTATTGAGCTCTCCAGAATCACCTAATATTTTAGTCATGCACCAGGTACACTGAATTTAGATAACTAAAGTTTGGGGGTGGGGGAAGGCTGTAACAGAATGTTCCATCAGAGCAAGATTGTTAGTGCATGTTTTCCTGCCGGCCTGGACCCAGTGCCCCAAATAACACACAGAGATGCTGTACTAGATATAAAGCTGTCGGCCTGTTACTAGCTTTTCTTATTGGCTAGCTCTGTCTTAAATATTAACCCATTTCTATTAATCTAAGTATTTCCACGTGGTCTTATCTTACCGGTGAGAGGGCCCAAAATTATTCTCTCTCAGTCCTACATTTTGAATCTCTTCCTACCTCTCCCTGAATTCTCCTTGTCTCTTACTTTCCTATTGACCAACAGTGCTTTTATTCATTAACCAATAAGAGAAACATATTTACAGAATGACATCTCCCATCACAAGATAGGTGGTTTTAAGCTTGAGGGATGCTGAATTGGGAGCTAGCTGTACATGCTCTCACTGTGGGAGAGCAGTTGGCAAGCTGAGGACACTAAGGCTTTACTTGGGCCCCCTGCCCAGCTTGTAGGCAGCTTCCACTGCAGTCTCCCACTCCTGGCACTGTTCACTGCTTCCCAACCTCTGCAAGGGGCTCCATGCATTCTAACACCCCAAAAGTCCGGTCTCTCTAAAACATACAAAGTCTTCTAGTTTCTCTAAAATATCCTAAGTTTCTCTAAAAATTCCCTAAACTGCTATGAAATGCTGTTTGTTTTTTTTTAAACTGGGTGCCTGTAAAATGGAAAATAATCTTACTCCATGTCTTATTTAGGGTTGCTATTGCTGTGATTAAATAAACACCCATATCAAAAAGCAACTTGGGGAAATAGAGTTCATTTGTTTTAAATATCTCGACTCACAGTCCATTGAGGGAAGCCAAGGCAGGAATGCAAACCCCAGGTGGAACCTGGAGGCAGGGGCTGACACAGAGGTGGGAGTGGTTCTGCTTTCTTACAGAATTCAGGGTCCCAGCCCAGGGGTGGCATCACCTATAATGGGCTAGGTCCTTCCTCATCAGTCACTAAGAAAATGAAGCCTGCCTAAGCCTGATCTTCTGGAGACATTTTGTCAGCAGATGTTCCCTCTCAAATAACTCAAGCCTGTGCCAAATTGGAAAAAAAGAGTCAGCACAATTGACCTTTTGTCACCTTGACACGGACTTACACTGTTAAACCATAACCTTTCCTTTCTTGTCCATTCCTAAGGCCACACATTAATATCAGTGTCATAATATAAACACTCCGAAATTGTCTTTGGAAGTTCAAACACTTAAAAAAAAATTCATTATCTTAAAGTATCCAGTCTTTTAAATCCAAAGTCTGTGTAAAATCACTCAATTGTAGGCTCTGTAAAATAAAAAAAGAAACACTTTGTTATGCCAAGAGGGAAGAACCAGGGTACAGTCACAATCTGAACAACGCAAAATCAAACTGCAGCAGTGTCAACACCCAGCATCCAATGTCTGGCATGCACTCATGATCTGGGCTCACTTCTCCAGTTCCATCCTCTGCAGCCCACACAGATGGTCCCCTAAGCCCAGTCTGGCTCCTCTCCAAGGCTGCTGCTCTTTGTGGGGCATTTTCTCAATTGAGGGTTCCTCTTCCCAAATGACTCTAGCTCATGACAAATTGGCATGATACTAGGCAGCACACTACATGACCAATAAACAAAATGAAGTTTGGCAATGTTGCCCTGACAGATCAAAGCCACATGAACTACTTACTACTTTGCATACTTTGCATATGCTATAATAAAACAGAAAAGCAAACAAAAAAAATTAGGGAGGAGTGGAAGAAACTGGATTCTAGTACACTGCTAAGGTAAAATGATGTAGCCATTATAGAAAACAATTTGCCAAGTACACAGAATTAAATAGTGAGTACAAGTCATAGCCGTCCTGCTGCCTGGCTACACATCCAACAGAACTGAACAGGGCTACATGAATGTCTACAGCAGCATTGATTATAAAAAAACCACTAAGTGTGAACAATATCCATCCCATCACTCAGCTGGGAGAATGATGAAGTTCTGCCATGCATGCTGGGTAGAGAAAAGGAAAGTGA